GATTCAGCTTTTCTGAACATATTTGAAACCATAAAGCATCTTATTTGATATTTTTTATTTTCACTGGAAAAAAAAAGCAGGACAAAAATGCTATTAAATAATAGAAATTGAATTAATATAGGTCTCTCATTGCTAAACCATAACTTAAAAGGAGTATCCTAAAGATCTATTAAATAAAATTCTGGTGTGGCATTACTTAACCTCAGTTTCAAAAACTATTCAGTGTTTACAGCATTGAACGTTAAAAACACTAATACTCGTAAAAAATTTATGATCAATCATTAATATACATTTTTAATCTAAGATAGAAATATGTTCATTGATAGAATTCATAGATATTGTATTCTTCTTGTTTATTCCGTTTAATTTTTCATTTATATAAAACATGAGCGTAAACCAAATTGACTACCCTTAATTAATTCCTCATTAACTGCACCTACAGCGTATAATTTCATTATCCCTATTTTAGTTTCAGGAAACAGACTGACTAGAGATAAAGTATGAAAATTAAACATAAAATTATTTACAAAAAGATGTCCTAATCGTTAATTATAACTTGCTTCATATATGTACATGCATTGGATATAGCTGATGTCATGAGGACACTCCACATTTTTTATCCAATGTATTTTGCTTTGTATTGTCGAATAGCACAAGTTTAAGTAATTATGGTACCGATAAAACCCTTTGAAATTGAAGCTTAATCTCATTTTATATAATCAATAGATATTATATCATGTTCTCCTTGCAAATGATAAGTATTCAAATTGAATGCTTGTATATCAAAACGATAGGATAAAAGCTATGTATTGCAAACCCTGTATTTTTGTGTGCAATCTTATAATTGTTATAAGACCTTTAATTCAGTTGGTAAAGATGCCTGATATATTCGACCTTGCCTTTAGATTTTGACCAGCTTTTTAAAAAATGTAACCTTGGCCATATCTATTGAACAGCTAGGACCAATTTTTTTAGAAAGTGTAACCTTGGCCATATCTCTTGAACAGCTAAACCTAAGATTTTCATATTTTACAGGTTTATTCCTTGTAACATGATCTTTCCTTTGGGTACCAATTTTATTTACCTCTTGACCTTGACCTTTGGAGCATGATGTGTATTTGAGGAAATTCAACCCTCGCTATAACCTACCATACGGGGGCATCGGTGTTTCACGAACACATCTTATTAAGAGAGAGTCCTGAGTAGATTAATCGTTTTGTCTCTTTGTTCAATAATCTAAAAGTGAAAAAAGGATTACTAGATAGATTAAATTATCAGTACGTACTGGTCCCTGCCGACAACGCAGGTAACAATATTGTCTTCGTTTGTAAGGCTCATTATATAAATTGTATTTTAGAAGAACTTGGATTTAATTCTACAAGTGGTAATCCTACTTATACTAATACTTCCCTTTCTAAGGAAGAAATTCTTCAAAATCATATGTCAGTTTTAAATATTTTTAATATTCCACAGAGCCAAAATGAATTTGAACTACCCTATATATATTGCATTCCGAAACTTCATAAAAATCCTTACAAACAAAGATACATTGCGGGTTCCAGTAAATGTTCAACCAAGCCTCTTTCGTTATTCCTCACTAAGATATTGACAGTAGTAAAGGAAAAACTTCAAGAGTACTGTGCAACAATATATTCAAGAAGTGGTGTGAATCAGATGTGGATACTCAAAAATTCCAAAGAACTTTTGAACAATTTGAAATCTCAAGATTTTACCAAAATCAACAGCTTAAATTTTACGACTTTTCAACTTTATGCACAACCATTCCCCAAGATAAATTAAAGTATAGGCATTTTGATATCATTGACAGCTGCTTTTTCAATAAAATTTGAACTCGTAAATTTACTTACCTGGTCATTGGTCATTTGCAAAATTATTTTGCTAAAACACATTCTGATTGAACACACAAGTTCTCTGAAGTTGACATCAAAAAGATGCTTGAGTTTCTGATTGACAATATTTATGTGGTTTTTGGAGACCAGGTATTCAACAATCTATTGGAATTCCCATGGGTACCATTTGCGCTCCGTTATCAGCAGACCTATTTTTATTTTCATAGGAAGTAAAATTTGTGCAAAATCTTATGCGTGAAAAGAAGAAAACACTTGCTGCAGCCTTCAACTCGACATTTAGATATAACGACGACGTTATTGTCAATTAACAATGGTCATTTCCATTCCTATGTCGATACAATACTAGTATATCCTGGTGAGTTTGAGATAAAAGATACCACAGAGTCTGACACATCTGTTTCATACTTGGATATTTTACTTGAAAAAGACGTTAATGGTTATCTAACAAGCAAGCTATATGATAAACGTCATGACTTTAACTTTTCAATTGTCAACTCCCCTTACTTATGCAGCAATATACCTTCATCAGCTGCATACGGAGTGTATGTATCTCATTTGATTCGATACTCAAGAGCATGCTCTACCTATGAACAATTTCTAAAAAGAGGTAAATTATTGACAAGCAAGTTGATGAAACAAGAATATCAGCAGTCTCGTTTAAAGTCATCATTTCCTAAGTTCTATGGTCTATACAATGACTTTGTCAGCAAATACAATTTATCATTGAGTCAAATATTGACTGACGTTTTTCATACTAATTGTTAGTCCATTATTTACACACTGAATTGACGACGGATTTTTCAGTTATTTCCCGATCATGACATGGATCACATGAATATCAAATTGTTTTCTTGCTTGTAAAATAATTCGCATTCATCAGCAAGAATATTATCTTTCCACTATCACCCTTTAAAATATTCTTTAGTGAAACAAAATATTAATTAAATGTTTATAAACTATTCTGCATCTGAAATTTCTGTAACAATTAAATGATTAATGTGTTCATGGTGTTTAGAAAAAGAAATATCTCAATTTACACCGTTTAAATGAACTAAGTATAAATGTTTTGGGTGAACTTTTTAAAATAATATATTAATTAAGATTTTGGCAAAAGAAACAATAATAATCAATATCGGAACGATAGGACAAATTCGATTGATTTTACTATAAACTAACTGTAAAATCGGACATGACAATTCCTTGAATTTCATGAAAAAATATCTCGATCACTTAAATATCATCTTAATTAAACCTTAACACCTTAATTAAAAAGTATTAAAAATGCGCTTAGTCAAGTGTTTGGATGCATATAATATTTCTTCAAATGGAAATGTAATTTATAATTTTATTTTTGTACACTGTTAAAATACACTCTTGAAAATATCCATAGAAACTTTGGAATAAGAAAATTTAGCACATTTTATAAACTTAGAAAGAAAAAAAAACTTCACAACACAAGTCTTTGCTCCAGTATTTGCAAACCCAAAAATGTATATTTCATTGCAAACTTTTAGGATCATCTTTCAAATAAATGGAGCGAAGACCAACTCATATTTAGAAATTTTGTTTAATATGAGAAAATGAATTTTTTTTGTTCTTTTTGTATGTGTATGCTTTTTCATAGGCAAATAATTTCAGTCTTTGTAAGAATTTTGTAAATTATCGAAATTTAAACATTAAGTGTAATACTTCAATGTGAGATGAAATGATACCCCCGTCTATGACCCGTTATCGAAGATACAGGGATATCTAGTCATGTGTGTACTTTTGCCCACTTTGAAAAAAATATTATCCTCGGCCATAACTCTAATATCGTTAGTACCTGAGATTTCATATTTCATAGGTGCATTCGGTGTGGCAAGACCTTCTTTTGGATACCAACAATTTTGACAGAGTTTGGTCCACTTAAAAAGAAAATTAACCTAGACCATGCTTTTAACCGTAAGTACTAGGGCTTTCATATTTCACTGGTGTATTCCTTGTGAGACAGTTTTCCATTAAGTACCAACAATTTTGACCTTTTATCCTTAGCCTTGGGAGTTTAACTTAGATTTGAGAAATTTCAACCCTTACCATAAGCTGCCAAAAGGAGGCATAAGTGTTACACAATCACATCTTGTTTATTATATAACTAACCATGACCTAACTGTTCTTGATAAGATTACGTAAAATTAATGAACTTATATACTGACATGTAAAACTTGGATTGTCTATTGATGACGCAAGCCTATCCCAAGGGCCATTAAATGTATTTGAATTTTTACGAATCTACGCTATCTCTTGAAGCTTTCACACAAGTTTCAATTTTGTTGGCTTAGTGGTTCTTGAAATTAATTTTTTTTAAGATCCCACCCAATTTTTCGATAATATCCTCTTGAAAGGTGGCATGGAATTCCTTTTGAAATGTTTTAAATTCCCTATGCCTAAGGGTGCTCAGTACAAAGTTTGGTTGAAATTAGGCCGATTAACAGGGGATTCTTACTCCTTAATAGCACCTAATCCCACCACTGATGTTTTCAGTCCAGTTTTCTTTACCCCTGATTTGTATTAATTAGTTCAATAAACTTTTGATAATGTGAAAAGTTTACATACAGATAAGGAGCTAGACAGGCAAGTGGATTAAGAGAAGCTCATTTGATTTTACAGCTCGGGTAGCTAATTGGATAAAAAGGTTGTTTTAAATATTACACAAATACTTGTGAATATGACTCAGGGTTTTTAAACTTTTTGTATGTTTTGATATTGTAATTAAGTCATCATTTATTGAGGGCATGAACATAATTATACTGTGCATGTATACTAAAAATGTTGGAGGGATGACAATTTGACTATCACAATGTGTTCATAATAAAGTTTTTGTCTACAACTCAAGTATGGCTCAAAATAATTCAGTATGTTATACATACATACATTTTTTGGGCAATAACGTTCGATATCTGATTCTCTTACATCGAAATACAAGCCATTTTATTAAGGTACCAATTAACTAAACTTTTCATGATGAAACCAAGTTTTTTTTTTCAAAACCATTTTTAAAACCATATTAAGATTTTTGAATGCCGTTATGTAAAACTAACTATTTCCTAAGTCACAACTATATGAAAAGCACCAAAAACAATTTTTTGATCATTGTGTTAGATTTTTATATTCATACAGAAGTCATATACATTATACGATCATAGCATTATAGTACAAGGGACATTGGTTCTGTAAACAGTAGGCCTAAGAGACAATGCTATAAATAGCTTACACTATCTGAGACTCCCATTATTATGGCATCCATTTTGTTACCTATAGCATGTATACAAACTTCTTTCTTAACAAAAAGAATTTAGGTACTGAAAAAAATCATTTTAATTTTTTTTTCAATGTGAAATTCCTGAGGATCAAAGAAATTTCTATGGGACTTAATCTGAAAATACTAAGTATAATACTATTTTAAATGATTAATTTTTTGTAATCGGTTTTTGATGGAAGTAATCTTGAACGAAAAGCTTAGTGTAAATTCAAAAGAAAAATCTTCAACTTTCCAAAATATATTTTTAATACATGGTAGGTTCCTATGATGCCTTGCTTAATACGCATTGTTTATTGATAATTACCTTCAAATGTATACATATTTCCAAATTTTGGAGGTAATTTCATTGTGAAAAAAAAAATTATACTTGTGTATGAAAAGTGTATAAATATGCATACATGTACATATCAATAATGGATTCTTTTCCCAAGTAATCACATTAAAATTTACAAACTGTAATCACATTAAAATTTACAAACTATGTCAAAATTATAAACTTGATACCGATACAAAAATGTTGTTGGCTAAAAATATTGCACATGAATAAATCTTCTCATCATCATTTGACACTCTTTAATTAAGAAAAAAAATAATTAACAGCAACCAAACAAATTAATTTCATTAACAGAAATTCCTCTAGCCACAAGATTCTACACCAGGATTCTACATAAGGAAATCTGAACCGAGAGAGAGAGAGAAAAAAAATCAAATGTAAATGCAAATAACTGCGGCATACATGATCATAGTAGAATGTACAGAAATAATATTTCCTCTTCTTTTTTAATTTTAAATCATGAATATCTACATCCATACCATAAAGCACTTTTATACAAACGACAGGTCACTTGTATAAATGTCGGAAGTCCCATGAAAAAAAAATCTTCACAGATGGATTTTCATCACACTGGAATAATGGCTTTTAGTTTCACTCACGTCTTCTCATGCATTCTTCAACTCGCTTCCAATTTTATAACCTATAATTTTGTTCCAGTCTATTTTTGTTCTGGTGACAGGAAGTTGTCGTCGTAGAGCCTTGAAGGTCGTGTCGGACATCGTCATGTAATTCTCTCCAATGGCTTTCTGATAGTAGAAGGATACATGATAGAGGAAAATTTTGTTTATTTGCATTATAAATGAACAATTTTATCAAATAAATTCCTAAGTTGATGAGCATTTCTATGCACATAAACCTATTGACCAATCAACCTTTCAATGTAAAATATTGTGATTACCTGCATACTTAATTTAGTGGGTTCATATTTAAGCCCCTTTTATGCTGTTTCATGTTGACTGCTGACCAGACTATAAATCAGCACTACTGGAGGACTTAGCTTATAACTCAGTTGTGATTACAGTACATTGATTTTCAAAATAAAATAAGTTCATGTACTATGGTGTACAAGAAATTTTCCCATATCGCAGAGAAACAAATGTTATCAAATTAAAAGGTAAAAATAACGGGAGGGAATATCTATTTTCACCATGTCATCTACACAGAATCATTTAGAACTGGCTCAAGTCTGAAATACATGTACATAAATAAGTACTGTATACAGGGTTATTGTCGCCCTTTAACACATATACTGTAAACCGACTTATATTTGAGTGCAAGAAATTTTCTCAAAGTTCGCGAGAGTCTCGTCATCGCGAATATTTCTCACCGCAAACCGGTTCTTTAAGTCTATGTGTCTATTAACAAAAGAACCCAAATAGGCTTGATCACGAAAATTAATTGTCGCGAACTAGTTAACCTCCGGTAAATCGTGAAATAAAGTTGCCACGAATAAAAGTTGGTTTACAGTATTCAAATTTGCCCCTTTCTATATTCGCGTACAGAAAGATTTCCTTACAAGATTATGCTGTATTATTTGAATTCGCTCCATTTAAATTCAAGTGATATCAACGAGGGTAAAAGGGGCGAAAAATAAAATGAGGAGGGCGAAAATTTCCCAGTATACAGTACTCCACCCACCTGGTAGTCAGATTCAGCTTCAGAAACGATCTTGGCAAATTCTTTTGCTGTCTGTTCTTCAGCCTGAAAAATATATGTCATTTTTTTTATCCCTGCTCTGCATATTTCATAATTGTTATGAAAATTCTCAGCAACATACCTAGTACCAGTATTTTAAACTCAAAAAAAAGGGATTTCACTTTTTGACATTAGCAGAGAAGCATTTCTCTTTCAAGATAAAAGAGTCTCTTTAAAAAAAATCATCAAATTCTGTATTTAATTTATAAACAAAGTGGAGTTAATTTGTGTTTTACAATTAATTAAGACATTCACTCAGAGGTTAAGGTACATGCTTGACATTAGGATGTATCCAAGAAGCAAGGACAGCCTTGGACAGGAGTCAAAATTCATCAAATGATCAGGATAAATAACTAATTTTTTTTCTACAAAATTTGTTCAGCTTTATTGAAATACTTGATATTAATTACCCGGTACGTTGATCTCTAGCCATTTCAATTTTTAAGTCCATATCAAACTAAGACAAGAGATGTTTGTAATTGTAAAACACTTATGCGCCCCTTCCCCAAATTGGAATTTTTCCAAGTCCAAGGGACATAACTCTATCAAAAATGACACAATCGTACCCAAAACATAACTTGACCTAGATATTCATCTAATTAATCTGTATACCGAATTTCATTTCAACATGTGCAACCTCTGCAAAGAAAATGAATGGAAACTGCAAATAATAGGAATTTTTCTAAGGCCAAGAGGCATAACTCTATCAAAAATGACACAATCGTACTCAAATCAGAACTTGAACAAGATATTCAGCTGATAAATCTGTATATCAAATTTCATTTCAATATGTGCAATGGTTGTAAAGAAAATGAACAGAAACTAAATGGACCGACAGACCGACCAACAGACAGCAGCAAAGCAATATGCCCTCCATTCTTCGAAGGGGGGCATAAAAACCTTTACTCTTATATCTATTTACTATTAATTTCATGAAATGAAAAAATGAGAAAACACTTTGCTTTTGTATAATATACCCAAAAATGTTCTTCTGTTATTATATCTAATGTTCTAAAACAGCCAAGTGTAAGCCAGTTCATAGGAAACTGAAGCTGACCTAGAAAGTTGCATACTAACTACAATCGTGCTTTTTATCTCTAAAGGAATGTGTTATGAAAATTTTCATTTTCAAAAGCTGATTGAGAAAGAAGAAAACATTCCAATTTATTTACAATCAGTAAAGTTTGTGAAAGAAATTTCACATTCTGTAAGTTTTTCCTTTTACCATGCTAATACTAGCAATTTCAAAGACAAAAAAAAAAAAGCATAGCTGAAAAACCAAACTTACTTTTGTTGATTTTTTTTCATGTTTCTATTATGAGATTTGGTTTACAAGATTACACAAAAATAATGCATACAAAAATATATATTTCAAGAGAAAAATATTAATCAAAGTGAACTAAATAACAAAAAAAAAAAAAAAAAGAATTATTCTTTCAACATCAAAGATTGCGTTCCTGTGACTAAAAAGATATCTTACAATAAAGTTATTTTATCATAGTGAAGACTTGATATAATCTATGTTCTCAAATCCTAAGAATTTAAGTACTTTTTACAACAGAACTATAAGTTAATAATTCGAAACTGAGTTAAGGTTTTGCATTAAAATAGTTGCCTCTTGGAAGCTTGTGTCTACCTAAATATGGCTTCAAAAATCCATGATCATATATAGCCAAAGCCATGTGTTTAACAGCTACAAAAACTGTATATACCATGTATACATGTATATCAATTTTATGGGGAAAAATGAGAATGGGGGGGGGGGGGTTGGGGGGGTTGGAGAACAAAGAGAGAGAAGAAATGTCTTACCGAGATGTTCAAGGTCTGTTTAACTTCTTTAGATGTGACTAACTGTACATTTCCATCCTCATAGTAATGTACCTGTTCCAAAAAAGGGGAAAAAAATTCTTACACACTACTTGGCTTTCCAATATATAAAGTACAAAAATCCTGGATCCACTCCACTTGCCTGGCTTGTTTATTTACCTGAACTTTTATAACCCCTGTCAGTTCAGCCTTCCCACCCCCTGATTCTGGGAATGTAACGGACCATTGTGACCTCAATCTTCCATTCCTAGGGAAAAAAACACATAAATAAGAGAACTGTCAGATATCAGGAAATGAATGGAATATCATTTACCAATAACTTCCTGATTGTAAATGAAAAAAAGTAATAAAAACATACAGCAAGTATGGCAATTAATTTTATAATGTAACAAGAGGCCCAGGGGCCATATCGCTCACCTGAGCAATTGGCTAGGAAAAAACACAGATCAGATCAGAACTGAAAGTAAACTGGGTGGGGGGGTGGTGGCTTGAATTTTACAACCCCCCCCCCTAGGGGGTCATGATTTGAACAAACTTGAATCTACACTACCTGAGGATGATTCCCAATAAATATAACGAAGCCTGGCTTCGAAGTACTTGAAAAGAAGATTTTAAAAGGTTTCCCTATGATCCTATGTAAAACTTTCATCGGCCGTTTTGGCCCCACCCTACCCCCGGGGGTCATGATTTGAACAAACTTGAAGCTACACTACCTGAGGATGATTCCACATGCGTTTCATCTTTCCTGGCCCAGTGGTTCTTGATAAGAAGATTTTTAAAGATTTTTCCTATATATTCCTATGTAAAAACTAGATCAGCCATTTTGGCCCCACCCAACCCCCGGGGGTCATGATTTGAACAAACTTGAATCTACACTACCTGAGGATGATTACACATGCGTTTCATCTTTCCTGGCCCAGTGGTTCTTGATAAGAAGATTTTTAAAGATTTTCCCTATATATTCCTATGTAAAATTTTGATCGGCCATTTTGGCCCCACCCTACCCCCGGGGGTCATGATTTGAACAAACTTGAATCTACACTATCAAAATGTTGGCTAAATGATCACAAAGTTTGACTTCAGAACGAGCCCTGAGGATGATTCCACATGAGTTTCATCTTTCCTGACCCAAAGGTTCTTGAGAAGAAGATTTTTAAAGATTTTCCCTATATATTCCTATGTAAAACTTTGATCGGCCATTTTGGCCCCACCCTACCCCCGGGGGTCATGATTTGAACAAACTTGAATCTACACTACCTGAGGATGATTACACATGCGTTTCATTTTTCCTGGCCCAGTGGTTCTTGAGAAGAAGATTTTTAAAGATTTTCCCTATATATTCCTATGTAAAAATTTGATCAGCCATTTTGGCCCCACCTACCCCCGGGGGTCATGATTTGAACAAACTTGAATCTACACTATCTGAGGATGATTCAACATGAGTTTCATCTTTCCTGACCCAAAGGTTCTTGAGAAGAAGATTTTTAAAGATTTTCCCTATATATTCCTATGTAAAACTTTGATCGGCCATTTTGGCCCCACCCTACCCCCGGGGTCATGATTTGAACAAACTTGAATCTACACTACCTGAGGATGATTCCACATCAGTTTCATCTTTCCTGGCCCAGTGGTTCTTGAGAAGAAGATTTTTTAAAAATGTCATTAATTTTTCTCTAATTCATAATTATCTCCCCTTGGAAAAGGGCCTGGCCCTTCATTTGAACAAACTTGAATCCCCTTCACCCAAGGATACTTTGTACCAAGTTTGGTTGAAATTGGTCCAGTGGTTCTTGAGAAGAAGATGAAAATGTGAAAAGTTTACGACGACAACAACGACAACAACGACAACGACAGACAACGGACAAATTTTGATCAGAAAAGCTCACTTGAGCCTTCGGCTCAGGTGAGCTAAAAATGTTTTGCAAGTTTAGGATTGCTTAAACTCAATTGTACTTCTTTCCATTATAAAACTGTCAAAACATATTGTACAAATAATGTCAACTTAGAGGACCTTAAATCAATTTAAATGGGCAAAATATTTTTTTTGTTTCTTTCTTGGACTTTAATTTTTTTTTTTAATTTTTTTTTTTTTTGAACTTACAATGCCTTATTATCTAAAAGAAAAATTCTATAAAAACTCTGATGTACCACCTCAGTATAAACATCATTTCAGAACTCTATCACAAAGTTTGACTTCAGAACGAGCCCTCACCAGAAGTTTTTGGGTTGGTACTGATGACTCTCAATGCAGCCGATAATAGTGACATTCCCCCCTGAGCTGTTGCCATAGACGGTCACCACCCCCTGTTTATAGTGCTGGTCTCGGTACGAGGTGAGTGAGGACTCGACCGCTGACCGCCAGGGTTCGGCCGCAGGGTCAGCCTTAGCCGGCTGGACATCACTAGCCTCTTTTCGCAAGTGGTCATATCTACAATTATATATAAAAAAATTATCTACTAGTGATGCTTTGTGGCAATTACTGTAAACTTACTACATTTGGCGGTGTATTCTATTTATCAAATTCAGCAAAAAGCAGAATCCGCTAAACAAGTACATTGTTAAGTGTCTTGTGTATTATACATTTACATCTAGCACATTCAGAAAGCACTACATCAAATCGCTGCTAACTTTCTGAAAAATTATTTTTCCCAAAATATCGTACATGCTAAATATAATACAATTACAGTAATGCTGTGTTTTTGGGTGGAATACAAGTGGTGTTATTCCACAAGACAAAACATAGGTAATCAGAGATTACAGAGCTCACCTCAACGAATGTTGTCTTTAAGTAAGGCAAAGTCACACAATTAACCAACAAAAAGTGTACATTCCAAAAATGAAAATATTTAAGCAATTTTGATCTGATACTTTGAAATAGACCTACATAAAAAATTTAAACTAGTTCTTTTTCATGAAAACGTAATCAAAATCCAGCATCTGAAGCAAATTTGAGAGTTTTCATCTCTTGATGCAACATTTGTGCAAGTTTGGTTTATACAATGTTTTATAAGCCTTATAGTTTTTTGGTAATAGACCTGCACCCATAACTTTTACCTGGTCTATTATCTGAAAAATGTATGCCAAATTCAGCATCCGAAGTAAGTCCATTAGTGTGCATCTTAAGATGTATCATCCATGCAAGTTTGCTCATTATAAGGCTCATAGTTAATTGGAAATGAAACATGCATCAAAAACTAATATTTTCACTCATCCAAAAAAAGTAGGTCAGATTCAGCATCCGAAGCAAGCCTGGTAGTATGCATCCTTATATGTATCATCCATGCAAGTTTGGTCAACATAGGGCTTATAGTTACTTGGAAATGAAACCTGCACCAAAAACTTTAACCTGTTCACTCAACCAGAAAATGTAGGTCAGATTCAGCATCATCCGAAGCAAGCCCGGTAGTATGCATCCTTAGATGTATCATCCATGCCAGTTTGGTCAATATAGAGCTTATAGTTACTTGGAAATGAAACCTGCACCAAAAACTTTAACCTGTTCACTCAACCGCAAAATGTAGGTCAGAATCAGCATCCGAAGCAAGCCCGGTAGTAAGCATCCTTAGATGTATCATCCATGCAAGTTTGGTCAACATGGGGCTTATAGTTATTTGGAAATGAAACCTGCACCAAAAACTTTAACCTATTCACTCAACCGGAAAATGTAGGTCAGATTCAGCATCCAAAGCAAGCCCGGTAGTATACATCCTAAGATGTATCATCCATGCAAGTTTGGTCAACATAGGGCTTATAGTTACCCGGTACTTGGAAATGAAACCTACACCAAAAACTGCACCAAAAATGTTAACCTGCTCCAAAAACATTAACCTGCATGGTCATTCCTTTGCTGAAATTGCAGCATCTGAAACTTTGACTGGTACAATGAAACACACTAGAACCATCTTCCATGCATGTCTAATCAATATAGGACATATGAAGTACTTAAAAAAGAAAACTGCTCCAAAAAACTTAACGAGGCTGGGGGGTGGCAGCCATTTTCAGACTATTTCTATCTCCTTTAAAAGGAGAGCTCCATATAAAGATATAGAAAATGATCAAAATTTAAAACTAAAATTTATGATTTTTTTCTTTGTCAAATGAATGTTGACAGCTTAAGATACCATATCTAAAAAAAATAAGTTAAATCTGGTGGTTACTTTGTGGTTAAATTGTTGACCCCCCAGCCTCCTTAACCTTAACCTGGTACGCCGACACCGACGCCGAGGGTATTACATAAGCTCCCCCAACTTCGTTGAGGTGAGCTAAAAATTACTCAAGCAATTATTTAAGAATTTTAATCAACTCGAGATGTGATTCATCTCAATTTTTCCATGTAGTGTGTACACAGTTTATAATAGCTTCAATGGATGGGGAGGAAGAAGACCAAAGCATAATCATAACACTATTTTCATGAGTTTTGAATTTTACTTAAGTATTTGGAAGGGAAATTACAAAAAATTATAAAAATGTGACCCATTTTCAATCTACACTGCAGCTCTGCAAACCAGAAACATACCAGACATACTCTATCATGTCACATCACTTTGTATGTAATAACTTCCTAAATATATAATAACTTACTATGTATAGCATGTTATGTGTAATAATTTACTATGCATGGTCACTTACTTGAAAGACTGCTTGGTCCTGGGATCTAGAAATCTACTTCCCCCTAAATCTCCATGTTCTGTTATTAAAACCTGTTGAATGGGAAAAAAATCACCACAACAAAAATAAGTCAAGGTACCCCAAAAATAAATTCTTTCTGTTTTTGTAAATTAATAATAAGACAGAAAGAAAATAAATCAAATCCATTATATAACATATAGTAATATAATAAACCTTGTGGCAGGAATGACCCCCCCCCCCCCCCATCGCAACCCCCTTTCCAAGTTTCACAGCATGCATATATACACAACATGCATATGATCAGTTTGTTAAGAGAGAAAAGGGAGGCAACTACTTTTTTTTGATACGTCTTGAGTAAGAGAAGGGAATCTAATTACTTTTGAAATAAAGAATGAGTGTTAAATTTGTGGCCTTTTCTTAATTTACTTTTAAAAGTAAATTGTCACAGTTTCTCATTTCACAGACGGTGAATGTTTAATCAAGGAATACAATCTACAGATTTACTTCCTCTTAATACATTCTTCTTAGGCTTTGTGTCAAAACAGATAGTGGGCTTCCTTCTTCCTCATTCCAGAGGACATTCTCATCTGTAACAATTATTTATTTATCTACTCAGAAATTTAAAACAGTACATGTACTTACTAATTCTTCTGATCCATTGATTTTACATGGAGTGAACTGATCTTTGTTGTACTGGGCAAATGACCTGCAAATAGTCCAATAAACATAGTAAAAATTTGACCCACAGAAGAGTAATTCTATCAATATTTTTTATCCTAGTCTTCAAAAGCATAAATCATTGTGAAAACATAAATTCAAATTATCCTTTTCTCAAAATTTTACTTATGAAATTAACTTACTTTGTAAATTAAAAAGTATAATTGGTATTCTCCAAGCTTAAGTGGACAGAATTTTATTTAATTCATAGGTTTAAAGGAAGGGCAAAGATAACATACCCTGAGGCACCCTCCTTTAGTAAATCATCATCATTAAGCAGAATTCTTACATCTGCAGGGAAAAAAAAGTTTTCAAATTGTTAATTTAAACTAATAACGCAATTCCGTATCAGTCCATTATCTATCTCAAGGTCAACAAATTATATGTTTGGGCATGGCTATTAAAATATCTTTAAATTTCCACATAAACAGACAACATGACTGTCACAGCAACTTTTTCAAATGATTTTCATCAGTGAGCATAGAGAAAATTGAAGATCTTCAAACTTATTTCTACAAAACTCTATTTCAGTCTTCAATGTTAATTTAAGAAGTGAATCATTATAAAAACAAGAGGCCCATGGGCCACATCGCTCACCTGAAAAGCTTTGACCATTCTGTTCTTTACCAGATTTCCCCCTTGTAATACATTATGTATCCCCACCCTACCCCACTGATCATAATTAAGACATTTTGAAATCAACTACCCCAGGATCCTTCCATGTGCAAATAAGTTTCAGCTTTTCTGGCCCAGTGGTTCTTGAGAAGAAGATTTTCAAATATTTTTCCTATATATTTCTATGTAAAACTTTGATCCCCCCATTGTGGCTCCACCCTTCCCCTGGGGGTCATGATTTGAACAATTTAAAATCTACATTACCCAAGAATGCTTCCACATAAGTTTCAACTTTTCTGGCCCGGTGGTTCTTGAGAAGAAGATTTTCAAAGATTTTTCCAATATATTTCTATGTAAAACTTTGATTACCCATTGTGGCCCCACCCTTCCCCCGGGGGTCATGATTTAATTTAGAATCTACACTATACCAGGATGCTTCCACATAAGTTTCAGCTTTTCTGGCCCAGTGGTTCTTGAGAAGAAGATTTTCAAAGATTTTTCCTATATATTTCTATGTAAAACTTTGATCCCCCCATTGTGGCCCCGCCCTTCCCCCGGGGGTCATGATTTGAACAATTTAATATCTACACTACCCTAGGATGCTTTCACATTAGTTTCAGCTTTCCTGGCCCAGTAGTTCTTGAGAAGAAGATTTTCCAAGATTTTTCCTATATATTTCTACGTAAAAATTTGATTCCCCATTGTGGCCCCACCCTTCCCCCAGGGGTCATGATTTTTAAAATTTAGAATCTACACTATCCCAGGATGCTTTCACATAAGTTTCAGCTTTTCTGGCCCAGTGGTTCTTGAGAAGAAGATTTTCAAAGATTTTTCCTATATATTTCTATGTAAAACTTTGATTCCCCATTGTGGCCCCGCCCTTCCCCCGGGGGTCATGATTTGAACAATTTAATATCTAAACTACCCAAGGATGCTTCCACAAAAGTTTCAGCTTTCCTGGCCCAGTAGTTCTTGAGAAGAAGATTTTCAAGGATTTTTCCTATATATTTCTATGTAAAACTTTGATTCCCCATTGTGGCCCCGCCCTCCCCCCAGGGGTCATGATTTGAACAATTTAATATCTACACTACCCTAGGATGCTTTCACAAATTTTTTAGCTTTTCTGGCCCAGTAGTTCTTGAGAAGAAGATTTTCCAAGATTTTTCCTATATATTTCTATGTAAAACTTTGATTCCCCATTGTGGCCCCGCCCTTCCCCCGGGGGTCATGATTTGAACAATTTAATATCTACACTACCCTAGGATGCTTTCACATAAGTTTCAGCTTTTCTGGCCCAGTGGTTCTTGAGAAGAAGATTTTTTAATGACCCCACCCTATTTTTGTCTTTTCTTGATTATCTCCCCTTGCGAGGGGATATGTCCCTTCATTTTAACAATTTAAATTTCCCTTCACTCAAGGATGCTTTGTACCAAGTTTGGTCAAAATTGGCTTCGTGGTTCTTGAGAAGAAGTCGAAAATGTGAAAAGTTTACAGACGGACAGACGGACAGACAGACAGACAGACGGACGGACGACTGACAAAATGTGATCAGAAAAGCTCCCTTGAGCCTTCGGCTCAGGTGAGCTAAAAATTAAAGTTAAATTAAGGGGAAAGCCCTTTAATACTTACCATTAAAAACCTCATTAAATTCCCCTGGAGGTGCATGTCTAATAAAATCTGAGGCAATGGCCACCTACAAAATAATAAGAAAGTGAAGAAACTGTTTTCATAATACATTTACATCAAACAATATTTAAATTACATCTAAACCTTAGGTTTACATATAATTATGTAAGAGGAGACTGCTTACTAGAAATCTCTCTTTCACATTATTTCATTATTTACAAACTGAATGATTACTTTTTTTTGCAGGGGGGGGGGGGGGGGGGAATTTACGGTTAAAAATTCTACAACTACAAGTACTGGCTCCAACATTGCTATCTTCATCTTGGGTTCATTATTTTCTCATTTTGGAAAAATATGTAATCATGGTACATTGTAATAGTACAGGTACTTTTATCTCAAAATTAATAATAATACTCATATTTAAATGACTGATTTACAAAAAACATCAATTTGATCAAGTGCTTACCAATTAAGTTATTCTCATTTAAGTTATTATAAAAATCTCTCAATGCTCATCAACATATTCAGATGATCGAAACTCATTTCAAACATGTAACTATATATAATACAAGTTACATCAATATCAATGACTATGATATTATAATTCTATATCCAATAAATTATGAGGAAACTTTTAGTATACTAGTACATATTATGCTTATTGGGCCCCCTTCACTTATGACTATTTTTCAATTTAAAAATTTGTACTCTAAAACGAACACTTAACATTCTACAGAGTTAATACAAGGTAAAATTATATACACAAACTGACAACTACTTTCCAACAGGAAATCCTTTCCCATTGTAACTGATTTATTACACTTAAATAGGTAACCTGCACTGTGGGGAAAACCATTCACCATGTTCACAGATGTTATCAGATAAACACAGTATCTCATAATGTGAAACAAGGAAGGCCCTCAGATCGCTTCATTAAAGATTATAAAAATAATTTGTATTTCTCAGTTTTTTTCTTGCATTTCTTTATTTTTCTCTTTATTAATAATAAAAGATTAAATACAGATCTTTACAAGAACATATCTTTCCACACACAAAAAAAAATGACTTTAATAAATTTATACAAAACTTTTATATTTCAGTATATTTTCTTTTGTATTATCATGATATTAACAAAATAACTAGATTTGAAAAACCATGATTGTGTTGCTGGAAAATACTGCTTTAATTTGATCAAAGAAGGACCTTCACATTCTCAAAATGAGTCACCAAGTGTAAACTAAACAATTATAGTTCAATGTTCTCAATCAACTTTACAGACAACTGAAGATTACGGAGAAAATGATTGAACAGATGAATTGAGGTACATGTATTAGTCATAATCCTTCCTTACATATTTTACCAAAAAAAAAAACCAAACACCTCCCCTCCCCCCCCCCCCCAAAAAAAAAAAACACATACAAAAATCATGGAAAATTTGATTGATTTTTTTCTTGGAAAGAATTATCAAATAAAGACATAAATTCTTAACATGAACATTTTTTGTAACAAGTGGATAATTTTGATACAAAATGCAAGTTGTATTAGTCTATAGTTCTTTAAAAAAATATGAAACAAAAAAGCATCAATAAATTAAGGCTTGCTTAGGTAGGTAATATCAGAGTTGAAAAAAGCATTCAAACAACCTGATCAACCTAACATCTTTATTTTCTTTTGGCACTACAACTGTTTGTGAGTAACTTTTACAGTCTTCTATGCCTTTACAACTGTATCCTAACCTACGTCTCTCTCTGTTTTGTTAAATTCTCCCTATGTACTATGTACAATGGATGTTATTTGTTAGCTTTAATTGTAATAATTAAAAATAATTTTCTCTATCTCCCAATCTAAATCAGAATCATCTGCATCTAAATCTAGAATTGACATTCATGCTCTGATAAAAGTGACATACCAAGTATTGAACACTGTGTTACAAGAGCATGCACACATTATCTAGATGTTGAATCACGCAAAAATGTAACGGTTACTAGTATTTCCTTGTACCAAGTAAGTTTCATCACAAAACTATTATGACTGAGTTACACAAGAGCCCTTAGGTAGAAAGAGAAACTTTGACCCTGAAACCCATATACAGATTTGTAACAATACTAATTTGAGACACATTCAACATGATTGCAATTAAAGAGATGTTAGTTAGATTTCATCGTGACATAAAAAAGTTCAATAAAAAATCGAATTTTACATCAAAATGTAGGAAAGCTGACACATGCATGAATGCATTTGTAGTCTCATATCTATTCAAAACATGTCAATCCCCGTTTTATTCAATAATTCTTACAGAATAGTGCCCACAATAGCACAGGAAATTCCTTTGACTGTTCACATGAATGTAAACATAAACTCAACTTCTTTCATAAACTTGCTGTTCAAATTTTTTCCACTACATGTATTGCCTTCGGCACATTTTCCCCGATAAATACACTACGGTACCCCTGCTACACTACACATTAACCAGAAGTCTCTGTCGAGACTGTAGCTCTACTGGTTTATACTTAAAACAAAGGAAGAGAAAAGTAGCAGTTGGGACTTGAGACTTTAAATCAGCAATAAATAGAAAAATGATCCTTGCCACTCATCAAAATAAAAACCAATGCACAGAATTATGTATCTTAGTATAGTCTACTTGTGTGCAGAGTTATACTGAAATCAGACCAAAACTGCAGGAGGAGTAGCATTTTGAAAGAATTTCACAGAAATTTCTATAATTAGTAACCATGGCAACATTGTTCACTGAAATCAAAAACCGATGCACAGAATTATGTATCTTAGTGTAGTCTACTTGTTTGCCAATTTATATCAAAATCAGACCAAAACTGTAGGAGGAGTAGCATTTTTGAAAGAATTTCAATGAAATTTCTATTTTTAGTAACCACGGCAACACCGTTTATCGAAATCAAAAACCGATGCACAGAATTATGTATTTTAGTGTAGTCTACTTGTGTGCCAAGTTATACTGAAATCGGACCAAATCTGTAGGAGGAGTAGCATTTTGAAAGAATTTCAAAGAAATTTCTAATTTTAGTAACCACGGCAACACCGTTCATTGAAATCAAAAACCAGTGCACAGAATTATGTATTTTAGTGTAGTCTACTTGTGTGCCAAGTAATATTGAAATTGGACCAAAACTATAGGAGGAGTAGCATTTTGAAAGAATTTCAAAGAAATTTCTATTTTTAGTAACCACGGCAACACCGTTCATCGAAATCAAAACCTGATGCACAGAATTATGTATCTTAGTGTAGTCTACTTTTGTGCCAAGTTATATTGAAATCAGACCAAAACTGTAGGAGGAGTAGCATTTTGAAAGAATTTCACAGCAATTTCTATTTTTAGTAACCACGGCAACACCGTTCATCGAAATCAAAAACCGATGCAAAAAATTATGTATCTTAGTGTAGTCTACTTGTGTGCTAAGTTATATTGAAATCGGACCAAAACTGTAGGAGGAGTAGCATTTTGAAAAATCGTTTACAGACAGACAGACAGACAGACGGACGGACGACGGACGCATTACTATCGCATAAGCTCTTCTGGTCTCTGACCAGTAGAGCTAAAAACATAGAATTCATCATGAATTTGTTAACCACATCAGGGTTTTTAGATCAATAACTCATTAATATATTCACATATAAATCAATAATTCATGTTCCATAAATAATACTACTGAAAGTACTACAAAATTTTTTTTTTAAATCCATCATTATTACATACAGAGATTAGTTTGTCTCTTAATTTCTCTATAAATTCTTTCCCATTATTCTGGCAGTTTTCACCTTCACTCACAAGTTCCACATTGAGATCTGGGCTTGTACAACTATTCTTTATCATGTTTATAGTAGTCATTCATGGGCCATATGATAGTGAAAAATTAAGAAGCAATGGACATACCGTTCAGAAGACAAAATATTTAAAATGCAATATACTTAAATAAACTAGTAAACTTTTCAGCAGTTTCAGTGTTTACATGATGCTTGCTTTTGTTATACAACACATTATAAACTATAGATATTAAATTCTCCTATAAAGTTAATGAACTGCTTACACCAAGGCAACAATATTGTACTGGATTTTTAAAATCTGCTTTAAATTCGAACTTTGTCTGCATTATAATGACCCTTTGGGTGACGTTTTAGGGGATACAAAGTAATTTTTATGCATAATTTACCCCAAAATATATATGCATTAACGGAAACACATATCCTTGACCATGATGACAATTTGATGACACAGAAGAAATGCCATACATTGGCATTGGTCAAATTATCAATGTGTCTGTGTGTTACAGAATTATAGAACAGTTACAAAATTAAAGCATGGACAATAGAAACTACAAACAATCATTTTAAACCATGCAATCAGAGGCATCACTGCACCCAACTTTTATTTTAAATTTAGCTATTTCATTCAAACTTTTTGCAAAGATTTAATTTTTCTCAAATGTAAAAAAAAAAAAGCTTTAGACTAGTGCATTATAGTCTTCAACTTTGTTCCTCTAATCTCACTCTTCACAAAAATAATGACTCCTTCAAAGAGATACCACGTCAAGTTTTGAAGTTCTAGGACTGTATTACAATTTGAAATAATTTGTGTTGGACTGTCCATTTACTTCATGAATGCATGATATTATGTGAAGATCAAGTCTGGTCAACAAGATAAAAGATTGGCACTTCAATCTAAATTTTATGTACTGTACAGTTAGTATCTGATCTGACCCTTTTCCTATGACATATTTTGCCTAGGAGTTATTCCCCTTAGCCACCATATTGTAGGGCAGCATTCCCAGATTCATTCATTATTCAATTTTCTCTGCATTCACATGGGGGTGATTTTCTTAATCATTTTTCATGACATTATTCACTTTGATCTTCCTACCTGACTTTGAGCCATCAACAAACTTAGCGGCCACAATAAAACAGTTTATCGATCATAGTATGACATTTGTGTTCATTAAAGAAGCCATTATGAGATACAGAGCAACATTTAACAATTATGATAGGTCATATTGAAATCATACAAATTTAGTCTGATTCTTAGCAAGTTGCGTGGTCAACATCTACCGGTCATTTGGACTGACACAAAACCTAAAGTAATCAGTCTTTAGTTGTTTTTATCAATCTTACCGACAGGATTCAAAGATTTCAAGAACACTATTATAGCTCTACAATCTATCATTGCTCTGAATTTTGAGACCAAAATAAAAATATTACTATATTCTTATCTCCATCCTCCCTGATTTTTACCATGGCAGGATTTGTTTACTTACAAAAAATGGATGAAAATCTTTGAGTAAAGCTTGTTTCAACTGTGATATATTGATGATATTCCTGAACTTAATTTCTAAACATGTAAGTGATGTAACGTTGTAAAGAATAAGAAAATTATCTCTTTTCTGAGGAAATTCGGTAGTTACAATAATGAATTTTAGTTTAGCCTAATAAGGTAAAATCTATCTCGCTAGGTAAACATTCTTTATATTTCTTCCTCTTTCATATTCTCAAACTGACAGTGCCAGAAATGAATATACACAAACTATCAGAACAGCATTATTGACATTCAACACAAAAGCGGAAGTATCTTAGTATGCGGTCTTTCGTTTTTGGTACTTGCATCTATTAAACTAGATATTCCTCATAAATAAGCCTTGTCATTCGCTTGTTTTCACCTCAATCACTTACCTCATATTTTCTTGCTTACAACCGACCGAAAGACACTGAAATAGCGTGTAATTTACCTTTTGCTTATCCGAAATGGGTTCACCGAAGTCGGCCATTTTCGTCTGTCAGTCACGCCTTCGTTCATTGGATCATGGGTAAAATACGAAAACATCAATATAAATACACCGACTCACAAATAAGAATTAAAATATTTTATACATTGTATGACAAAATTTGAAATAAATAAATTAGAGAGGAATAAACTCATACAAATGTTCTCAATAAACTTCAAGTACGAAACTAAAGTAATGCTGATCCAGGAAGAGCTTCATTGACAACAAAGAGGCAAAAAATCATCAGGTGCCCTGATTTTTAAACAGTTTGAGTGATGGGCGACCGCCCGCTTCACTGTTCAATAAAGAACCCGTTTGTACTGACAGTTGAGGATCAGAAGAGCGTGTTTCACTCCGGATGCAAAGTGATAGAGGTCACTTTCCCGAATGTTTCAGTGCCAGAGGTACAGAAAAATGTCAACCGAATTTCCTCAGATAAATAGAAAAATTGTTATTTCTTTATTTAAATTATTTGGATTTACACCACTAGATTACTCAAGTTTACACTAAGATAAGGAACCTTATAATTTGAAATGATAAATATACATGGGGATGTGTTTTGCTACAATTAATGATTCATTTGAATGTTTTGTAAATGAACCAGAAAAGAAATAAGACACATTTATGATTGATAAAGTCCTATTTGCTTTTTAATACATGCATTTTATGTTTCTAGTCTTTATGCCAATCCATAGATCTAGAACATATGTAATAGAAGTTAATTTTGTTTTTTTATTTATTTGTTGATTTTATTTGTTTATTTAACTTGTTCACCTCATTCCTGATTAATTAGCAATCCACTGGGAAACAAATTTATTCCTGGAAAAATTTAAAATAAGTTTGCATCTTTAAACACAAACATCTGATTAATTTGTTCTAAAGTATAATCGTTTTTCACGAAACCTCTAATTATTTTTATTTTTAAATGTAATCACTGATTGTAAGTCTAATCTTGATGTTTTAGCATTTATTTCAGCACTGAAGTAACAAAATGTATAAATACTGAGTTTTATAGTGATAGAGCACATTAAATTACACAAATTCCCACTTTTATTACAGAAGCAGACTGTACCCATATCCCTCTGTGAAAGGGTAATTTAACTAACACACAGTAGCACAAACCATGCTTGTGTGTTTTTATATAACACCTGCATTTAACTGATCTTGTCTTGTGCTGTTACATGTAATAATAATATGATGTACATTAAATTAATATGTTCTCCCATTACAGTGCAATGATAGAGTACTCTCTCTGGATATTTAAAATTCTTCTTTAAATTAGTTTCTGATCTCTAATTTGCAAGAACAACTAGAGAGAAATTTGACTCTGTAGTCTAGCGCTGTATAACAGTCTTTTTTGTTACATGTGTATCTTTCCAATATTCCTTCAATGTTTATCAAGTTTTGCCATATTTATAAATGTGTATATTGAGTACAGTTGCCATTTATACCATAGGACTCCCAACCAGGGTAAAGAAAATCAATTGCAGAATAGTAAAATGATTCTGATCACATTGAAAAGTTTTAAGAAATTAGTGTTCTAGATCTGTGAAGGGAGAACAAATTCCATAGCGAATGTTTGCTTATTAGTTATAATGTTTTTCATCAAATATCAATCTTCATTTTTTTTTTCTGGATGACAAAATACACAATGCAATAAATAAATCTCTTGGTCATGTTGGTCTTTTGACTTTTAAAAAAATCATGAATTGCTGATGGCAAAACAGGTATCTAACTCACACAGATTATGGAATCCTTATTTAATACCACACTTAATAGACATAACTTCAAAACTTACAATGGTGCATTTTGTTGTTTGTACAAGTGATGTACTTAAAATACCTTGTATTTTAGTGGTATGATTTTAAGGTTTTCAGAGGTTGAATGGAAATATACATGTATAATCATTGTTTCATTTTTGTTGTTTTGATGTAATCTTGATTTATGAACGTCACAATAAGCATCACCTTTTAAGTAGTATGGTGTATGAATTTATCAAACGTGAGGAACAAAATGGTACTTTAAATTTGTATTTAATTGAGATTTTTATATACCATTCACATAATATTTAATTTTGACTTTATTGTAATCTTATTTTTCAAAAAGAACATGACGTATTGTCATATATACATGTAATGCATAATTTTTTGTTTACAAGTACAGTAAAGTTATCGTGTTTTTCATGATAAACAGGTTGGAGAGATATGCTTTAAGAATTACTACACAGCATATATTTCAATACGAGTTAAGTTTAAGGCAGCTCCAGACAATGGAACAGACTCAGGTACATTTTAACATTTGTTTTAAGATATTAATTTATTTCATCTAATTTACTTTTTTGAATATGTTGATCAATTCAAACTTTTGTAAAATAAGGAATTTTAAAAAACAATTGTGTAATAAATGATTTAGATGTGAACATGTTTTCAGTGATTGGAAAATTTATTGGTCAATATTCTTTCTTAATTTTTATTAGATTCATTAAATGAAATAAATAAATAAATAACTTGAAGACAAATCAGTAATTATATTATAGTCTTAATTTGTGAATTGTGAAAAATATTTGTAGCTGGTGACATAAAATGGAGGACATGTGTGCGTAAAATGAGATTAATGCCCAATCCACATAAAGAAAGTGGTTCGCAGGATTACTTTTCTATTTCAAAGAAACAAGTATGTATAACCAACAGGTTGCATAGAAATTAGTAAGATAAAACAAAATTCCAGAATTGACAATATATCAAACAGTTGAATTTAATAAAAAGGACTTGAAGTTATGCACAACATTTAAAATAAACAATTTTACTTTTGAATAATTTTTTTTTTAATTTACATGCACAATGTATTGCGACATTTAGGTCAAGCTTAAAAAAAATTTTGTTTGCAGTTGCCGACCTATATTTTTTTTTGTTAATAAACAATAAAGCTTTTCATAGGCCTAATAAACATAACTAAGCTCCACTTTTGTTATTAACAACTGATTGATAAAATCAGAAGTCAAACATTGAAAATGAAACACTTTCAATATCCTGAAAAATCAAAGAAAAAAAATAATAACACAAAATGGCTAAAAAAAGTTTGGGTCGGGTGCATTTTCAGTGGGTCGGTAGGCAACTGCAAACAAACAAATTTTTATTTTAGGCCTTACTGTGGATGTTGAATGATAAAATTTCCCTGTTCTATGTATAGGGTATAAGCAGACCTTTAATGATCCTTAGACATGGATGAAGCAATAACTTTGACCCTCATAATCATTCCAAATACATGCACATGTAAAGTGTATAAACTAATTTAAAAAACTACCCATTTTTAAAGTCATCACAGAAAAACAGACATGAAACCAACACAAAGAGACAAATTTGACTATTTAATTGATACGAAGTGAAATTTCATGGATTTTATTGTGACCATTAGGCAGGTTTGATGGTTTGAAGAGCTCATAAGACCACAACATTTATTCAAACTCTGATCCATATGTTTTGCTCAGCAAGGTATATTAATATCAACATGAAAAATGTCATCATGTTATATTCCTTCAGTTTTCCTTTGACATCTCCAACATATCAGCCATGCGAATAATTCTACAGCAGCCCTCTCCAGTGTGGAAAGAGTTCCGGATAGAGGATCTCAAACTCTACAGGTCATCAGAGGTAAAAGAAATAAAACTCTATCAGATTGGTTTAGAAGATCTCAGATTCTACAGGTCATCAGGGGTAAAATAAGTAAAACTCCTTCTGATTGGTGTAGAAAATCTCAGACTCAATAGGTCAACAGAGGTAAAAGAAGTAAAACTCTTTCTGATTGGAGTAGAAGATCTCAGACTTTTCAGGTCATCAGAGCTACATTTAAATTTTATGTAAGTACATTGTAAAACTCTTTCTGATTGATTTAATCTAGAACATCTTAGATTCAACAGGTCATCAGAGGTAACATAAGTAAAACTCATTCTGATTGGATCAGAATTTCTCAGACTCTACAGGTCATCAGAGGTAAAATCTGTATTACTAAATCTCTCTCTGATTGGTCAGACCAGAGTGCAGAGTCAGCATAATAAGGAGGTAAAGTGTAGATCCCCACTAAGAATGGCTGATAACAAGCAGCACCATCACTTGACAATTTGCAGAGCAACAGACACTTCCCTAGTCTAATTGAAATTACCTGATACTCTAATAGAAACTGTGCATGTTGTTTCAGATAGTTGTTAGTGGGGATATGTTAGTACCGCAGCCAGAGATTGGTCATTTCTGACCTCAGGCTAGCATATTACTAAAAGTTAATTTTGTCTGGCAATTTTTTCAGTTGTTTTAATGCTGGAATTGTATCATTGATGATTGTTTAGTTCAATCAAAATTCAATACACTGACAATTTACAAGGATAATATTTAAGAGAAAACTTTATATTATATAAAGTGAAAAAATTAATGGATTTCAAAATTCAATATATTGATCGTAAAAATAGTAAAGTATAACAATTAATTAATGTTCCTTTTATAAGCATAGATATTTAAAATATAGTTGACTGTATCCCTTTGTAGATGATGAGCAAACCCCCACCCCTGCCTGCATGGCTGACAGAAAGTTCAATCAACAGCACTAAGCACAAACTAGAGGTAAGGTTTTGCACTTCATAGTTGACTTAATATTTTATGAGTTCATTTTGTTTAGATTTTGATAATTGGCCTTGTTTTAGTTGATATTTATTTACTTTTAAAATTATGTATTTTAGAAATTATTTTAGATCAAAAAGTTATTTAAACCCTTGAATTTTAACTGCCTTCCTTTGCTTGATTTGATTAGCAGTACTAGTAGATTAATGACTGCAATATTTTCCCCCTTTATAACAATGAATTTATTTAATTAAAAGATTGTTAATTTTATAATTAGAATGGTATTTCATTTCCATTTGCTTAATGATTGTCTTGAAATAAATATTTAAATTTAAGGGTTACTTAGAATATAAAAGTGATAAACATGTGCACACAAATTTGAAGCATACATACAATGTTTTAAAACTTTTCAATACATACATTATAATCAGCAAGATAATTTTTTATATGTTAATTTCATCATGTTCAGATACAGAAAAATGGTATTAATTATGCTTTGTAATTAATAATTATAAGCTACCTGATATATCTATCGTCATTTAATTAATATTCTTGTTTGTAAGATATGTATGAAAGATGCAAATTAAACTTTAATGTCATTTAATAAAATGGATACATGACTAATGCTTCTGATATTCTGTTGTTACAGTTCAGTTGGTTGGGTCAATTTCTTTTCGCAGCTAGGTTTCTGAAAGAGCAAACTACAAATGTCATAATTTATAATTAAAAATCCTCTGAGGGATATAATGAAAAAAATGCAGATATAAAGAAAAAAAAAACTTTTATGTGCTTTTTAAATTTAGGGAGAAAGAATGGATGCGACTTATATTTTGAATCATGCTCCCAGTAGACCTAGTAATTCTGTAAGAAATGAAGGGTGGAGGATTATTTTATTCTGATTCTATATAGTTTATAATATGATTGTAACATTAAAGTGTGTCAAACTCACAGTTTCCATAACCCATTCAGAGTTTCATTTTTGAGAAAGGTACATAAGTATTTTAATTTAGTGATAGATGTAATTTTGCTTTCTGTGTTGTATATATAACAGTTGTCTAGTACAAAACGTTTTGATGCATATTACAAGTTGAAAATAATATAAAGAAAGATTAAACAGAGTTTGGGTTGAGCATTTTTTCCTATGAGGCATTTCTTTTACTTCAAAATTTACTAGTACACTGTATACTGTTTCAAACTATACAACAGTAAGAAATTGTATAGAATAGCAAGAAATTGAACATACTCAAATCTTAACCAATCAAGATCCTCCAAATAATCTGCATAAAACACGTACTTCACCAAAGAAGGAGATGAAGGTTCATAAATCTTATGGTCATCAAATTGTTTCCTTGGATAGAATAACAATATAACAAGAAAAGAGATAAAAAAAATACTTTTATAAATTGTCCATAAAACTTCTAGATAGTTAACTCCGAAAGCCTGCAGAAGTCTTGTTGGAAAAACTGAGAATTGGGAATATGATGAAAGCAAGGGTCTATCAATTCACTTGTATAGTTACTTCTCATCTTTTTTTTTTTCAGAAAAAATTACATAAATGTGATATATAAATATATTTCATTGTACAATTTCAGACACATGAAAATTACATTCCAGTGTCCATTTTTCTATCATCATTTTCATAACCATAAAGGATGTCTACTATCTTGTTGAGAGTTACTATTCATAATTGTCTTGACACTACTTTTTACTTTCATGTATATGAAAATTATCTTGAAGTTTTATACTAAGTTAAAGTGAATTCAATGATGCATCAATATTTTTGTTCATAACAAAACACATTCTTGATACAGTTACAAACAAAAGCCAAGGAGAAAGTAAGTAATTTTGAGAAAAGTCACCATTTTTTCTCTCACTTTTTTTATTATTTTTATAATAAATCTAGAGTGCTACTTACACAAACACTATATTTTCCATTTTCCATGGCGAAGAAAAGTTTTAAAATCGAATCCCCCTTTTCCAAACAATTCACTTTCTGAATACATTTGTCTGTATTAATTCCATGCATGCTTATTGTTTTTAAGTGCTTTGTTATTTTTGATATAAAAACATTATCATCAAAGTTCATTATAGTTTTTAAACATTCAATGACATTATTATTTCATGTCATAAAGAAAACTTTTTTAAACAGTACTGTGAATTAAATCACAAATTTCATGGGAAACTAATTTTCATTTTTGAAGTCTACAGAAAAGAAATTTATATTAACTATGAAACACAATTTTTCACATTCATGTATATTACTGCTTAAAAATTCTTTAAACATGAAATGAAATAATTCCATGAACCAATGAAAAGGATATGGAGATATATATTGATATATATTGTCCTTATATAAACAATGAAAAATTGACCTCATGAAATTATGTGATTATTACATTATTGAAAAAATCTTGGGAAACCTTTGAGAAAATTTTGAACAATTTTCAATTTCATATTTTTAAATTTCTCATTACATTGAATAAAAGAATTAATGTATACTAACAAAGTAATTTGTAAAAGATATATATAAAAAGAAAGAACAGAATTTCAAAGAAAAAAAGGAAAAGAAACAGAAGAAAGATTAACATCAGTATATTTATTGAGATGCATGCTTTGTTGTGACAGAAAATAATTTTGAAAACAATTACAGAATCTGTCTATAGATGTGTCACTGCAAACAATAATGTCCTTCTCTCTCCTCCAATCCCTCTCCTTTATGTTTGGACTATTAATTATTAAAAGTAATTTCAAATTAAGTGGAAGAAATTTTTGCACACAAGATTAACATGAATCAATATGATAATCATACAGTTTGAAAACCAAAAGGAAAAAAAATTTAGTACATTTTCCGTAAATTAAACATACTGTTTCAAATCTCCCGGAGTACAAAATATACATGTACCTGGCACAAGCATAATTTAACATAGCATCACACCTTATGCTACTCATAGAAAAATACAGGAAATATCTATAACCAGAAATATTGTAGATAAATGGGGCTTACATTAGGATGGACTCTTCTTTAAATGACTAAAGTAGTTTATTAAAAGGAGCTTTATGTAATGAACAATGCTTTCAGATATATTTTGATGATTCTGATAGCCAGGAGAATGAAGAAGTGGTAAGATGTAGATCTAGGAGGTAGACAGTTATATACATGTATTATATTACTGTAATTAGGGGAGAAATCTTTGATATAAGTGATGATGTTTCAAGTTTATTTGATGCTTTTTTAGGCCATGTAAAATTAATTCCTTGGTTCTCAGGCCTTTTTTCAAGAAATATGATGAGGGAGGGAGGCATTTTTTTTTTCACTTTTTAATGACCCCAAAACTGATTAGGCATTGTACAAAACCTAAGAAAATGATGAGGGAGGTGATTTGTTGTTTTTATTTTATTGATTTAGCAATAAAAAGGGTCAATGAGGCACCCTTAAAAGAGATGAGGGAGGGCCTGAGAACCAAGATAATATTTTTTTATAGCCTTATTTAAATTTTTTTGGATGTGTTTTATCAGAAGGAAAAATGTAATGATGTAATTATAAAGTTGAATTTCTTCTTTTTAGTACATGACAATCTGAAATTTGTCATTTTAATAATGTTATATAATTTAAATATAATGAGGAAAAAATGTGAAATGTAAAAAGTGAAAATTTCGTATATTTTTTTTTTTCATTTTATAAAAACAAGATAGGAAATTCAAAGTACTAAATGTCTGTGTGAAACAAAAAGTAATTTTTCTTCCTACTCTATATATAACAAAATAATCTCAATTAACCATAATTATATCAATTCTAAGGCATTATAATCATAAAGCATAATTTTTCTACCTTTGGAGGATAATGAAGAGAAAAAAATAATAAAATATGAATTTCTATGCATGTTTGAGAAAGAAAACCATTCTTCATATGCTGTGTTCTTTTTTGCAATCATACAATTTCATTGATCTAGGAAAGTTAAATATATATAAAATAGAAATTTTACGTACTCCTGCTTTCCAACTTTTTTCAAATTTTTCAATTTAAATTAAAATAGAATTTGTCTATTTCTTAATTCTGTTTTATAGACTGGGAATATATTAGACAGAAGTTCAAAAAGAAGAAATGTCTCCAATGTTTCTTTTATTATATACTCTAATTTTACCATTGAAATTTAAACTCATCTTTTTAGGGTATACCTAACCTGGAGTCGATATCCTCAGGTTTACAAGAGTTATGGGGATTATCAGAAGAAATGGCTGTTAACCAAACTAGTACAGATATAGGGAGATATGAGGTACATGTACATGTATTTATAAATAGCACTTCTTAAACGTACTTTATATTTTAGAGTAGGAATGACATTTGCCATATTTGAGGATACTTTGAAATAATTTTTTTAATGAATATTAATTGGATAGCCATAAATGTATTTACGATTGACACTATTAAGAAATATTTCAAAGTGTATTCGAGTACCATATGTAAGGAAAAAGTCTGAGCCAATGCTCAATAGTAATAAAACACCGAGAAGTTGTTTAGAAAACTCTGATGGACAGACAGACAGGCTGTAAGACTAAAATGACAGAGACACACAACATTAATACAGTACCCCCCTTTTCCCTTTCTTTTGGAGTGGGAGTATATTGACAAAAAAAATTGTATTGTGAAATGATGCTTTAATTGCTTACTTTGAAATCATTAATTTTCTTTTTTTTTCTAGGTTGATGGATGCTATGAAATCAACTTACTGGCTTATACATGAATCACCTTTAATTGGTCATGCATGAGGAGAACAATTCCCTTAATTGAGGAAAAACCCAAGTTTTGTTCTGTCTTACTTTACCTAAAGCAGAGCTTATACATAAACACTAATTCATTTTTGTGATATGTTTCATTTACTTTCATTGCATTGAGACAGAATTTTTATTCTAAATTTTTTTTATTAAATTACTGATGGTTATTTTTGGATTTTTCCCTTTTTTCCCCATTTAGGAAGGAATTTACTTTTTTCAGTTTATTTTTAAATCCTAACTATGAATCAAATGCAAAATACTAATAAATCCTCTTAACAGTTCAGACCATAAAACTGGGCAAAAATATGAACCACTGCAATAACTAGTGTTAAGCTCCTGTAACATTCTTGCAAAGTACAAATTATTTATTTTTGTGTTTGCTTAGGATTCCTTCTTAAAAATTACGTTATAATATAAAATCACAACAAACTTCAATAGCTTTGGCACAAAAAGAACAACTGACTGGAATTCACTATATATATTTTTTCCTTGGTCCTATCTGGATAACAATTAGTAAACTAAATAAAAACAAACTATAATGGAGGAATCACTTGCAATCAAACCAATAATCAAATTTATAACATTATATCTTTATATCTGCAGACTTAGTGGTTTAACGAACAATTCTGTTGTTTCCTGAAACAGTCTAGATATACCTAAACACACCCTAAAAATCACAAAGTCGCAGATACATCTAAAGACACCCAAACACAAGCTTAAGTCACAGATACATCAAAAGACACATAAACACAAGCTAAAGTCACCAAGACACCATAGCTATCAACAGGACACTTTTGGTTAGACACAAGCTTAAGTCACTTAGACACCATAGCTTGTCACATAGATACTAGGGAACTAGGTCCCTGAGCTGAGTGGTCAAACATTTCTGTTGTTTCCTGACACAGCCAAGGTACCCTTCGCAAGTGTATTTATACTATTTTACAGCTGTTCAACTAGTACTGGTTGGTTAATAATTTTATTGGGTAATAACAAACATTTTTCAATCCACTTTACTAATTCTGATTTATTACGTTACCCACACCTTCAAAAAAAATACGTCATTTAATGCATAGGTAATCCCAAATTCATGACTCCGTATGTAATTGAACAAAAAGAGTTCTATTTTCAAAAGCATTTACATCATTGCTAGATGTTTTACTAGTATAACATATGTTAAAACTGTCACTTTTTAATTCATGCAATCATTGCTGATAAACGTCATTTCTCTTTGTCAACATCGTTCAACTAGTACTGGTTGGTTAATAATTTTATTGGGTAATAACAAACATTTTTCAATCCACTTTACTAGTTCTGATTAATTACATTACCCACACCTTCAAAAAAAAAAAATATACGTCATTCAATGCATAGGTAATCCCAAATTCATGACTCCGTATGTAATTGAACAAAAAGAGTTCTATTTTCAAAAGCATTTACATCATTGCTAGATGTTTTACTAGTATAACATATGTTAAAACTGTCACTTTTTAATTCATGCAATCATTGCTGATAAACGTCATTTCTCTTTGTCAACATCGTTCAACTAGTATTGGTTGGTTAATAATTTTATTGGGTAATAACAAACATTTTTCAATCCACTTTACTAGTTCTGATTAATTACATTACCCACACCTTCAAAAAAAAATATGTCATTCAATGCATAGGTAATCCCAAATTCATGACTCCGTATGTAATTGAACAAAAAGAGTTCTATTTTCAAAAGCATTTACATCATTGCTAGATGTTTTACTAGTATAACATATGTTAAAACTGTCACTTTTTAATTCATGCAATCATTGCTGATAAACGTCATTTCAACATCGTGGATATAAATTTTATCCATTTAAAAAAAGCAAGTAATAGATCAACAAATTACAGAAACTGTAAACGTGATATTTATCCCACCGCTACCACCAAATTTGTTATGCTCTAACAATGTACAAATGATTAATAATTGGGTTTGCTTAGGTTTCCTTCCTAAGAATAATATACGATAATATTAATATAAAATCACAACAAACTTCAATAGCTATGGCACAGAAAGAACAACTGAATGGAATTCACTGTAAATACTTTTTCATCCTTGCTAAATAACTAAAAAACTTAATAAAAACGAACTGTAACGAAGGAATCACTTGCAATGAAACCAATAATGATATTTAAAACATATCACTGTAGCTGCAGACTGAGTAGTTTAACTAACAGTTCTGTTGTTTCCCGACACAGCCCAGGTACACTTCCCAAGTCACCTAACTCTGACAAAGAGTTACACCAAAAGTTTACAAAACTAGATCGATCCCTGTATTCATACTATTTTGCATCTGTCCAACTAGTAAGTACTGATTGGTTAATAATTTAATCAGTTGGTTGGCTAAAATGTCAACTCTGATTGGCTGCACATGAAATGATTTGATTGGGTGATTCAACAGCTTTTTCAATCCAATATACAAATTCTGATTTATTTCACACCCGTGTTGAACAATCCTCAAAGGGGCTTAAATTACAAAAGAACTTACGACTAAAATCAAAAACTTAAGTCAAATGTTTCAAAATTAATGATATCATTTAAAATTGCTTATGTAAAAGTATCCCGCTACAATCCTTTTAAAAAAGTTGAAAACCATTTCAATATATTATAAATTGCAACGTTATACGCAAAATTTTTAAATTTTGGTCTTAGTCGTGAGTTTTTTATTAAAACTGGTCCCTTAAACAGCTGCCTTTAGGTGGATTACTCATCACTTGTTGAACAGTCACACCTGTTGCGAACCAACTCTATTGATCAGATGAAGCCTTACCGGACTTATCCCAAAACAGAATGTGTATAAAAGCAATTAATATGAAACATAATGAGTATATACTATATACATTATTCATAATTCTGTCTAATGTTTGTTTTTAATATTTACAAACAAGATTAGTATAATAACATACAATCAAATGAAATGCTTAAAGTTAAAAGGAGATGTACAAGAGCATATACAGACAATAAGATATAGTAAACAGTTCCTTCAAGTATTGGAACTCTTCAAATCCAGGGGAAAACGCAGTAAAATTCAAACTACATTGAGTGTGTTTTCTTTCAATGATCATTGTCATGATCGGGAAATAATGAAAAATTCGACAACAATTCATTGTGTAAATAATGGCTTAACTATTAATTAGTATGAAAAACTTCAGTCGGTCATTGTATCAATCTTTGTTAATATTCTTGTTTCATCAAATTGATTGTCTATAACTTAACTCGTTTATAAAATTGCTTAAATGTAGAGCATGTTCTTGCGTATAGAATAAGCTGAGATAAGCTGACATATATAAACCAATATGCATATAATAAGGATATTTTGCTGCAAAAGTAATTAAACTTTAAAATCATCATAATTATCAAAATATTTGTTGTTAAATAACCATACAATTCTATTAAAGTACCCATATATGAAACGGATGTGTCAAACTCTGTGGTATCTATTTTTTTTTCTCAAATCCAATCATAACTCCTCAGATATCTCGCTAACTGAAAAATAACGTCGCTTAATTATTAATGGATCTTTTCTATCTATAGAATAAACCACGCATCTATGGTTTTATTTTGTTGTTTTAAGAGGCAAGTGTTTGCTTTGATCCTATATTGTTATTGTTTTAAATGACATTTGTAACAGATTTATGTTCGAAACTCCATGTTTCATCTAATGAATAAAGTGATAGTGTCACAGCTTGATCAAACGGAAAAATAAAAAGTATATAAAACCATTGATGACTCTTATTGAAGGAAACAGATGCACTAAATTGTACCGGCAGTCCATGCCATTTGTTAGTAATGTTCTGGTAACTCGTTAATCGTAATAATATAATACAAGAGGCTCAGGGGCCACGTCGCTCACCTGAGCAAATTGCCAAGTAAAAGCAAAAATCAGTTCAGTATTGAAAAGTTTAAATACTGTTCAGAAAATCAGTCATTGTGCCCCCCCCCCCTACCCCCGGGTGTCATGATTTGAACAAACTTGAGTTTACACTACTTGAGGATGCTTCCACATGAGTTTCATTTTTCCTGGCCAAATGGTTCTGGAGAACCTATTTAAAACTTTGATCAGCCATTGTGGCCCCGTCCTACCCCGGGGGTCATGATTTGAGCAAACTTGAATCTACACTACTTGAGGATGCTACCACATGAATTTCATCTATTTTGGCCCATTGGTTCTGGAGAAGATTTTAAAAAGAATTTTTTCTATATATTCCAATTTGAAACTGATCAGCCATTGTGGCCCCGCCCTTCTCCCGGGGGTCATGATCTGAACAAACTTGAATCTACTCTACTTGAGGATGCTTCCACATGAGTTTCATCTTTCTTGGTTAAATGGTTCTGGAGAAGAAGATTTTTTAAAAATACCATTAATTTTTTCAATAATATTATTCATAATTATCTCCCCTATGAAGAGGACTGGGCCCTTCATTTGAACAAATCTGAATCCCCTTTACCCAAGGATACTTTGTGGAAAGTTTGGTTGAAATTAATATTGGCCCAGTGGTTCTTGAAAAGAAGATGAAAATGTGAAAAGTTTACAACGACGACAGACAACGGATAAATTTTGATCAGAAAAGCTCACTTGAGCATTTGGCTCAGACGAGCTAACAAGAATTTTAATGTAAACTTTTGGAGGTTTTCATATCATAAACGTATATATATAATCTGTGACAATACCTTTCTAAATACGCTATGATTTTTTGCCTCTTGACCTTGAAGTTTAAGCCACTTTTCAAAAACATTAACAGTAGCCATAACTTTTCAATGAACAGAGATAGGACTTTTATTTTATATTATGATTTTTGACTCCGTTCCCCGTGTCCGTTCCAATTCTAAGTTTCATGAGAATAAACATCTAATAAGTATAAATAGCAGCAAACTAAATTTAGAATACGATTTGAAAATTGCTGCGTCCCTTACCCTCCATCTCTGAAGTCATCACCAATATATTATGCAGTTTTGTTTCTGAATCATTTGATATAAACTAAAACTTAATATTTGAGATATTTCAAGAGAAATAAAGGCAATTGCAGTAGTTATATACGTAATTTATCCCAATATACGAGGTGTGTCGACAGAATATATTATAATTAGCCATCTTGTAATTTGTCATTATAACAAGGAAATATTTACGAGTAGTTTTGGTTTCATGTTAACAAAGTTATCATTGAACTTGTCTACGACTTTTTGGGACAACCCTCGTACATTTGAACTTTCGCTATTTCAAGTGATAGTTGATGAATAGTCAAAATGTGGCTAGTGTAAGTCTGGTTCAATGAACATTGTCTTTTAATTCCTGAGTAAACCCTTGAATTATACTTGCAGTTTGTTACGACTTTTCGTTTTTAGCTCACCTAGCATGCTGAGCCAAAGGCTCAAGTGTACTTATCTGGTCACATTTTGTCCGATGTCTGTCCGTCCGTCTAGCTGTCTGTCCGACTTTTCCTATTTTCGACTTCTTCTTAAGAGCCACTGGATCAATTTCAACCAAACCTGCCACAAAGTATACTTGGGTGAAAGGAATTCAAGTTTCTTAAAATGAAGGGCCACGTCCTTTTCCAAGGGGAGATCATTAAAAATGAGTGAAAAATTAATGGCATCTTTTGAAAAACTTTTTCTCAAGAACCACTGGGCCAGGAAAAATGAAACATATGGAAACATCTTCAAGTAGTGAAGATTCAAGTTTGTTCAAATCATGACCCGGGCATAGGGCGGGGCAACAATGGCCTATCAAAATTTTACATAGGAAAATATAGGGAAAATCTTTAAAACTCTTCTTCTCAAAAACCACTGGGCCAGGAAAGATAAAACTTTATGGAAACATTTTCGGGGCAAAATAGATTTAAATTTGTTCAAATCATGACCCCCGGGGGTAGGGCGGGGCCACAAATGATGATCAAAGTTTAACATAGGATTATATAGGAAACATCGATCTTTAAAACTCTTTTTCTGAAGAACCACTGGGCCAGGAAAGATGAAACTTATAGGGAAACATCCTCAGGTAGTCACCCATTCTCAATATAAGGGCTCAAATACTGTCGCCTCATTTTCATTTAGAAGAAATACCATTGATGTAATTTTTTAATGAACATTATAAATAGTCATATAACAATGAATAAGAATTTAGAATTCATATAATTATCGATCTGAAAGGGTATTTAAGGGGTACCAAATTCAAATATAGTAGCCTATTTGAAATGTACGTTACTGTCGCCAAGGCAAATATTATGCTGAATCCCCTCTGTGTAATATATAGTTTTGATTCTCAAGTAAAAATTTTCTGATAAGTTAAACTTTGTATCATATATATTTCTTTTCATAACAATGAATACATTTTCTTTGTGATAATAAATAATTTTTATTGTGCAATGTCCCTGTCGCTTAATTCTATTTCAACCACATTACAAGGAAACACAAAGATTATACACCTGATAGTTTTGTTTTCCTTTATTTATTGATGGGCTAAATTTGAAATTTCAAAGGATTAATTACTCCTACTTGGATAATGTAACTTGAAATCGAAAAATTTGAGCAACTTTTATAAATATGTTTACGGAATGAAAGACATTTTCAATCGTAGAGATAAGAAAGAAATGTACGTTACCTATATTTTTCCATTAAGAATATATATTAAGTAGAAAATATATATATTAAGGTCAATTATATGTAATATAATTTTGATATCTGGTATATATTTCTGAATACGAAACCTGTATGATGCATTTCTTATGATATGCAATATATATCAATATATTGCGTGTCTAACGTACGCTTGTGGAAGAGGATTGATTTTTATATTTGAAATGTACGTTACGCATGGTAACGTACATTTTGCCTTTTTCTAACTGACATTTTTTTTTATTTAGTCAATGAATTGCGTTTACACATTTGTTAGATCATAGCAAAATACGTCTGACTCTTACTTTTTTTGTCTGTACCCTTGCACACAGGTAGAAGTAACTAGGCTACGACCGGTGTCAATTTCAGCGAAGCAGCACAAAAGAATGGTGGAACTGAGGTGGAGGGGACTCCCAAATAATATGTGAAATGAACGTTACCGAAGTGACGTGACATTCATGTAGTTGATGACAAAAAACCTCGTTTGTTACATTATGATTTCTTATATTACTGCGTGAAAACGCTTCATTGAAATGATTTTTATGTCAATAATTGCTTTTTTTCAATATTTTCTTATTACTAATTTACATATTATTACAAGCTTGAAACGTAAGTTACCTACTCATATTCTGAGGCAATCGTGTCTTTATAGTGGTGATTGTGACATATAACACAATGTGATTACATAGAGAATCTTTTTTGGAATAAACTGAAACAAAACGATGAATTTTAAGCTTTTTATTAAACAGAAATATATGTTGAAATGTACATAATTTTTTACGTAGTTTTCTAAATCGGCATGGATATATGTTAAAAAAGACAGTAACTACAAAATAGAATTTTACTACATGTACATGTTAAGTTCCAGTATCTATAGAAAATGACAAGATTCCAAACTGATCGCTCTAAACAAAACAGAGAGAAGAATTTAAAGCATATATTTAAAAAATGTTTTTATACATCTGGATCTGGTTGATCAAAAAGTTCGCGGACTATTTCCATAACTACTAAACCACAATTCAGATTTGAAAACAATTTGGTATACACATAGCCATACACAAGTTCTATAAATAGCATATGCTGAATAAAGTTTTGCTCCTTCTTTTTGACGTCACAATGTGAAAATGACGTCACTATATAGGTCACTTGTGACAAAAAATGGTTGTCTCAGGCGTACTCGTTCAACAAACGACTATAAGATTTATGGTATATCTTAGAAATCCCTCTGAAGTAGCGTATAATAATTTTTACACAGTTTAGACAAATGACTTCCTTTACAAAATTCAACAGCATAAAAACTTACGACTTTTCAACTTTATACACAACAATTCCCCACGACAAATTAAAATCCAGGCTTTTTGATATCATTGACATCTGCTTCTTCAACAAAAATGGAAGGCAGATTGGTTAAAAATTATTTTGTTAAAACAGATTGATTGCACACATGTTGTCAAGTGATAGCAAGTTTTTCTGAACAAGAGAGGTGTTTTTGATAAAGCAATTTGCTATTGCATTAGCAGACTTATTTTTATATTCATATTTTACAAAATCTTTGAGAAAAAACACTTGAATATTTCAACAAATTAATAATGATTTTCCATTAAATATATCCTGGTGACTTGAGATAAAAGATCGTTTACTTTACTTGGATATTTTACTTGAAAAAGACTAACATATATGATAAACGTGATGACTTTAACTTTTCTAAACTTCCCTTACTTATGCAGCAATATACCTTCATCACCTGCATACACCTGGAATAAACATCTCTCGTATGAACAATTTCTTAAACGAGGTAAATTATTGACAGAAGATTTCAACAGGGTTTTGATTCTATGGTGTCCCTTGTCAGCAAATATTTATTTGAATGAAATGCTGACTGACGTTTTTCATACCAATTGTTAGTCCATTATTTATACACTGAATTGACATTTTTTCTTTTTCCTGATTATGACAACGAGCACACGGCGGGTGTGACCATTTCTCCTCCATGGCACAAATGTTTCGGAACTGTTCTTGATATAATGAAATTAACTGTACATTTTTTCCATAAGAGATTCCTATAAATTTAATCAAAAATTTCTTTCAGCTTTTTGTTATGTTGTCAAGTGATAGCAAGTTTGAAAAGAGAGGTGTTTTTGATAAAGCAATTTGCTATCAAAGACCTCCAATTTACACTTTGAGAAATAGTTGAATATTTCAACAATTATATGATTATTAAATACCTAAAATATCGTTTACTTTAGGTTGTAAATATATTAGGTATGATAAAAAGAAGGGAATAAACATCTCTCCCGGGCAGAAGATTTGGGTTTTGATGGTGTCATTAATTTTTTGGAAAGGACTAATTCTTTTGCCGAAAATTTCTGACAAATGAACTGTTCTTGATATAGAAATTAACGTACATGGAAAGAGATATAAAACTCAAAAATTTCTTTCAGCTTTTGTTACAGAACGCTATGTTGTATATCAATTAGCGCTTGAGCAGAAGGGTGGCTTTTAAAATTGGAAAGGACTAATTCAAAATATAATCAACACTGAAACCAAATAATTGTAGATTCAAGTTTGTTCAAATCATGACCCCTCGGGATAGGTGGAGTCACAATGGCCGATCAAAGTTTTACTTAATAGGAACACATAGGAAAAATATTTCAAGGACCGCAAAGCCATGATTTGTTATATCTTAGTTTGGAAGGGGAGCATTGTAAGTTCAAATGTAAAAGGTAATAAAGCAACAGATAGTCACGAAATATGCAAGCATCCTTAGTTAGTGTACATTTAAGTTTGTTCAAATCAAACCTTCTCCCCTTTAAGATATGGTTAGGAACACTTTTGGATTTAAGGTTTTAATACATGTAATAAACTGATTTCTGCTTTTTTCCTAGCCACAGTGCTCATAGGTGAGCGATGTGGCCCATGTGCCACTTGTTGGGAGACTGCATGGTGGGTGGAGTTTCCTTTTTCACAAGAAGCGAATCAAAACAACTGTCAAAATGCACGTCACTCCATACACAAAACAACCATCCCCAAACTTTTATAAACTGTACGTTAACTCAAAAGGCTGTGATATATTTTATTTGCTTGTTTATAATATCTCTCGTTATCCAGTCTGCGCTTGTTGATAACACAGAACTAATACGTGGAGAATGTAAGTAAAATGAAATAAGTGTGTTTTCGGTGCATGAATACTTTACTTTTCCCTATCTTACTTTCATGACTGCTGTAGTGTAGAGTAAGACTTTAAAAACAGTTTTCCAGAAATCTCTCCGATTTGCATTTTATATACTAGCTTACTAACAATTAATACTGTATAGCGGGTTTCACGTATGTAAAATTTGGTGGTTTGCCTGCTCAAAGGTATATGCCAAAAATTTTGGCGGAACTTATTTGGTGGATACGGAGTTCCATGAATTTTCAAATTAGTGGAAATTAATCTTTTAGATGAGTATCAGTGCGTTACATATAAGTTTAACATCCAATTTACGCAAAAGTTGAGCAAATACCAATTAATGCCATTTGAAATATACAATTTTTAAAACAGACAGATCAAAGCTATTTAAATTTTTTTTTCTTGTGTTCAATATTTTAATGAAGCAAACATTCCAAATTCAACAATTAAAGTTTTAGTGGTCTACAAAAAACCCCGCTTGAAAAAAGCCAACATCTGCTATACGGTATACTTATTAATTTCATGTCCCTTCGAGAACTTTTCAATCATATTAGGAAGCGCCATCACTTGCTTGTGGAGGGCTAAAAATTAGACTTGTAATCAGCACTTTCTGCCATTGAGTAGTAGGGAAGCTTTATCCAGTGTTAACATCCACTGCGACAGACGACGTCGATTAATGCTGTTTCATTCGAAGGACCGTGGGGATCCGGGATAGAATAGGTCTTCAGTACCCCCTTGCTTGTCGTAAAAGGCGACTAAACGGGGCGGTCCTTCGGATGAGACCGTATAAACCGAGGCCCCGTGTCACAGCAGGTGACTGGCACGATAAAGATCCCTCCCTGCTCAAAGGCCGTAAGTGCCGAGCATAGGCCTAAATTTTCAGCCCTTCAACGGCAATGGTGGCGTCTCCATATCAGTGAATTATTCTGGAGAGGGACGTTAAATAGTATACAGTGGAAGGACCGATCTTAACGCTTCGCAGTACATTCGAACCCGCGACACAAATATTAATCCTTTATTGCGTGATTCAAGAGCATATGCTCTCACCACACGGGCAGAAATAATGGATTGTCTTACTATTTATATTTTGTTAAAATGACGCGGATTAAAACTTATATTATTATTTTTTTGTGCATTTCTGTTTATAACTATTTATACTAAATATATCCTTTTTTAGCATTCAGAAACGTTTCGTATTGTATCATATTTTTTATGCACTTGTTTTGCACATATGTTTGCATTGAAATTAAAGTACTTGTCATAATAATTCGTTCAGGAAAATGTCAATCGCCTACAGCATGATACTTTCAATAATGCTGACAACAAGACAAGTTGAACCTAGCTCTCCGTTGGATTTTATTAAAAATGTTGATAGCTACGCAAGTGTTTGTCATAAAATTGGCTTTAAAAGATTGAAAGGTATGTACACTTTTGAAATTTTATTGGAACTAAATATATACAAAAATGTTCTGTGCAAATTGAATTTCATTAGAACAAAATTCAATACACTACAGTATATATGCATTACAAATATCATGCATCAGATGAGTAGCAGTGGAGTGGGCTCATATAGATCATGATTTAAATTTCTATGGAACGCCAAATTAACATAATTTCAAATACTGGTTTAAATTTCACTATGTTCACGATTAAAGAATTTTCCGCCAAATTAACATAATTTCAAATATTTGTGCCTTTCTTCAAATAATTGCACCTATCTTTAAATAATTGTACCTATCTTCAAATGAATTGAAGATAGGTACAATCGAATTAAAGATAGGTACAATTGAATTAAAGATAGGTACAATTGAATTGAAGATAGGTATAAATAATTATACCTATCTCTAAATAATTATACCTAGGTACAAATGAATTATACCTATCTTTAATGGAATTACACCTATCTTCAATTCAATTAAAGATAGGTTCAAATGAATTAAACCTATCTCTAATTCATTTGAAGATAGGTATAATTGATTTAAAGATAGGTACAATTGATTTGAAGATAGGTTCAATTAAGACATATCCACAAAGGATTTGAAGATAGATACAATTCAATAATACTTAGGTTCAATTCGTTTTATGTTGTTGGTAAGTAATGAACGCTCTCTTGGAGACAAAACTGAGTATGGAGGGAAACGCACAGAACCTACAGAGTGACTACAACAAGGATGAAAGGAGAAAAAAAGGTTAATTCAAAATGTGCAAAAGCATCATATACTTGGAACTAAATATATACAAAAATGGTTTGAATTTCAAATTCAATACACTACAGTATATATGCAAAAATATCATGCATCAGATGATAGCAGTGGAGTGGGCTATAAAATGATTTAAATTTCATGTAACATAATTTCAAATACTGTAGAAGTGGAAAACATTACGGTGTTTTTAATTTCACTATGTTCACGATTAAAGAATTTTCCGCGAACTTTAAGCCATCGTGATTATTATTTCACGTCATTTCTACCTAGAAACAGTCATAGTACCTGAATATTTACAAACGGTTCTCCGTGAAATTAAAACCACCGTGAAAGGGAACTTTCTAACAAACCGTGAAATTTTAGACACGTGAAATTAAAGACGTCTACAGTATTTGTGCCTTTCTTCAAATAATTGCACCTATCTTTAAATAATTGTACCTATCTTCAAATGAATTGAAGATAATAAAGATAGTACAATTGAATTGATTACAATTGAATTGAAGATAGGTGTAAATAATTATACCTATCTCTAAATAATTATACCTAGGTACAAATGAATTATACCTATCTTCAATTCAATTAAAGATAGGTTCAATTGAATTATACCTATCTCTAATTCATTTGAAGATAGGTATAATTGATTTAAAGATAGGTACAATTGATTTGAAGATAGGTTCAATTAAGACATATCCACAAAGGATTTGAAGATAGGTACAATTCAATTATACCTAGGTTCAATTCTTTTTATGTTGTTGGTAAATAATGAACGCTCTCTTGGTGATAATACTGAGTATGGAGGGAAACGCACAGAACCTACAGAGTGACTACAACAAGGTTGAAAATAGAAATAAAGGTTAATTCAAATTGTGCAAAAGCATCATATACTTGTAAAAATACACATGTATATCATGTAGGTATTATCTTGTATTGCAGCCAGATTTAAATGCGCCAACGTATAAATGACGTATAATAAAGGGAGTAGTTATTATTGCCAATATCTTAGTAATTAAAAATAGGTTCAATTCCATTGTACCTATCTTTAAATCAATTCTATCTATCTTCAATTCATTGCGTTTGTACGTTTCTTCAAATCAATTGTACCTATCTTTAGATAAGATAAAAACAATTGATGTAAAGATAGGAACAATTAATTTGAAGATAGGTACAATTCAATTGAAGATAGGTACAATTATTGGAAGATAGGTACAAATATTTGAATATATGTTAATTTGGCGTTCCATAAATTTCGCACGGAATGACGTCATCAAACTTTCAACCAATCAGAGTACAGCATTTGAATTTTATATATGTAGGTGTATGTAAAATAGTGTTATGGGGTCATCAAGTGCAAAATCAAAAAGATACCCTTCAAGAAACTTTTTGATTTTCCACTTTATGACCCTTGAACTTCCCCGGGCTGACCTCTACTTGTCGAGACCTTCCATTTGGTGTGACACACGACGTCCTTTGGGCAACTTTCAGATTTTTGTACTTGATGTCAACAGGACACTAATTCACATACAATTACATAGATCAAATTCAAATGCTGCCCTCTGATTGGTCTTATTATGCGAAAGTTTGATGATGTCCTTCTGCGCCCACTCCAATAATTGGATGATTGTTTTTCTTTTTAAAATTATTTCATTATCGAAAGAGTTTTATTAAAATTTTAGGCTGTTCTGAAAATGACGACAATGTAATTGCCTTTCATGCTGCTTTGAAATACAATTTGCAAGACGTGCCTGTCAACACAACAATAAAATTTGAAGATGTTTTGTTGAACAAAGGAAAAGCATATGATCCTAAAACAGGTATCTTTACATCACCTGTAGATGGCATCTATTTTTTTGAGTGGACGTTCATGTCAAAAAGAAGAGCAACGCTCTCCTTACAAGCAGTTGTTGACGGTTTGGGAAAAGCATCTACTTGTGTGAATGATCAAGGAAGCTACCACGTTAGTACATCCGGGCATTTGCTTTTTGAACTGAAGAAGGGAAGTAAAGCATGGATCAGAACTTTTACAACAAAAGCGGATTTCTTGTACGCTAATACGTACACATTCTTTACTGGACACAAAATAAACTAGTATTAAAAGCTGAGTGAATTCATTCCAAATGTAAAGAATATATTTTAAGGACAGATGATACGTTTCTCGATAATATATTATTTTTTCCCATTTTTTTCATTGAAGTATTGCTTCTATAAAATGATTACTCATAAAAAATTGAGGTACCTTACCTGAGATTTGTGCGATGCTAGAGGATAGTGTTTCGTACAATGTATAAAAACTCATTTTTCTAAATTGCTGCTTATTGTTTCAATTTTTCGACAAGAATCTGGTTTTAAAATCAAAATGTACCTACAATTTTGAATATAATTCAAATAAAGTATACAAAACAGATATTTGGGGAATGTATCTTCTGACCCAAAATAAAATAAATGAAAACAATAATATATTTATATGTATATATATATTTTTTAATCTTTTATTACCCAATCACATGAATATTGTGATCAATACAAAAGGTTGAAAAAACAATTTGACATATATTAAACATACATTTGTGAGATGTGATGAAGTTTTTATAAACAAAAAAGAAAACATTCACACATTGAACATATATATATATGCATGCAAGCTTAATCAACTAAATGATGCAAAGAAAAATTAATTGTTTCTATAGTAAGTAGTTGAAACAGCAGGGTATTTTTAAATGAAACCATTTTACAGTGCATATTCTAATGGTACACAGCTCCATTTTCTATCAAATTTCTCAATTTCACAGTTTTTCTTGTAAATATATTTCTCACATTCATAGTATTACAAAATCTCATTTTTAGCTCCTTCAAATTTAAATGAAGGAATTTGTTTTAAACATCTTTTTCGGTATATGTGCTTCTTTACAATACATGTTATCAAATTTACAATGCTATAAAACTTAAAATAATTTCCAACAATTATGTCTAATTTATTCATTGCAATATCAATTCCAGATATTTTTTTTATCCAATCATGAATTTTTTCCCAGATCTCACTAACATATTTACATTCCCAAAGTAAATGTCCAGTGTTTCTGGGTGTACATTACAAAACGTACACGATTCTGTTTCTACAATCCCAATCTTGTTTATAAATGTGTTTGTTGCAAGAATTCTGCGCATAAATATAAGACTATTTTTAATCTTCCACCAGCTACTGTTTACATCTAGATTAAACTCTTTTTCCAATTTTATTTCACATTTAGGTTTTTTCCAACTATGATTTTAAAAAACATTATAGTAGTCTTTTGAGCCCTTTTTACTTTTTCGTATTGTTTGCAAAAATTGTGGGTAAACAGGTAAGTTATTGACAATATAATCTATAATGTAATACAGATCTAGTTTCTTTATACTATTTATAATCCCATAGTACAAGATAAATGGTGGATGAAAATTGTATGAACTCTTCATAACACATCAATTCACCAGTCAAAAAAATCTAATATGATATATTTTTATAAAATATACTTTTGTTATTGATACATAATAAACCATGTTCGATATTCAAGATTTTTTTCTTCATTTTCTTAATTTTTTCTAAAAATGCTGAAAAAACATCAATCCAAAAAATATTTGTATTAATTTTAATAAGCTTTTGCAAAAATGAAAGACCAAAAACTGTTATCTGTGATACATTAGGTAAGGTTTCAATTACCAAGTGTTTCCATCAAGACTTACATGTATCATAAAAATTTTCTTTTAAGTTTCAAGACAAATGCTTTGAATATATCACTCTTTGCAACTCTTGAGATTAAAAAATATTTTCAACTTCTTTTAATCTTTCTTTTGGGGGAGTTAGTAAACTAATTAACAAGTGTGTAATTTTCGTCAATGATTTAACTACAGAACAGTTGATAACATTCTGCGTGACCATGAACATATTAGTGCTTTTATTTCTTTAAGTTTGATTTAATTCAAACATAGAATTACTTTCTAGATTTACACAATATGTTATTCCTAATACAGTAAAGGGCTTTTGAGACCAGTTTAAGTTTTTGAATTCCTCCGATATCTCCAAATTTTGTCTTAGTGAGCCTATTTTAATACAGTGAGTTTTTTCATAGTTAGGTTTTAATCCAGAAAACTTTGAGAATTGATCAACAAGAGAAAGTGCTGATTTTAGAAAATTTTGGAACCATCTAGTAGCAGTACTGTGTCATCTGCATATTGAAATAAATTAAATTCCTTACTCACTGTAGTAATGCCGCTGATTAACGAATTATTCCTTATCATAATACCCATTATCTCAGCACAAAATAAATACGGAGACATTGGATCGGATTTAAAAAATTCTGAAAAAAATACCATTCTGTATTACTTTGGAATCTTGTAAAAGAAGTTTAATATACTTTATAAAGGAATCACCAAAATTGAAAAAAAAAAACTAATACTTTAAAAATAAATTTCCAATTTTTCGTCTATTACAATTGTTTTCATTACATAGAAATATCATAAAGGAGCTTTTTCACCGATGTACCGTCCTGCAAGAAAGCTCTTTTGATTTTCATGAATTATTTCTGACAAAATTGGTTTAATACGATTTGCTAATACACCAGATAATAGTTTATACTGAAATTGGTCCAATTCCCTTTGGGCAATTGAAGTCTTTGCAAAACAAAGCTATGTTAAAAAGACAAAAGCAGTATGCAATGTCTGACCAGAAGAATTTAAAGAACTCAGCAGTAAAACCATCTGTACCTGGTGATTTATCTTTTTAAAGTTTTTTAGTGTATCAAGTATTTCCTGTTTAGTTATTTCACATTCTAGTTTCTTTTTAGTGTACCTTTCTAATATCATTTATATGTATTATATCATTTATCCTCTAATAATTGATCTTTATTGCTATAAAGCGATAAAAAAATGATATATTCTGTTTATTAATAGTTTTACCTTGACTATTAATTAATCTATTTATATTTTTATTGACATAATTTCTTTTTTCAAAACACAGGAAATATTTAACCATCCTCAATCCACTTACATCTACTCCTTAATAAAAGTCCATTTAGTTCATATTTTCTGTTTGTTATTTGAATATATTTCGTCACTTTGTGAAATTTCCAATCAAAACAAAACATTATTTGCAACCACACTCACACAGGTGGATCTCTATATTCACGAGAATTTCTTTTTGTTTGAAACTTATGCAAAAATCATGTTAAAATGATATATTTTTAATGCACTTTGATATTTTTTTTATTGCCAATATTTACATAATTTTGAAACTGGAAATGGAGATTGAATATGATTTCTAGCATAGTGATCGTCATAAGAACATGATACAGTAGATTCATCTAATTGATTTTTGATATTCTTTTCCTGAAAATTCTTTTCCTGCCAGATATAGAGCCCACAGAAGACTTTTTAATTGGCTTTTTTACGCACAAGACAAAGTCGGATTAAAATCACACTTTTTGCCAATGAAAATGAACAATGTCTACAAATAATGAATTAAGGCTTTGAATTCAACCAATGACATGTTTATTTTATTGCATATGCATGTATTTCATATACATATATATTCTGAAAGCATTATTTCACAAAATTTCCAATCAAAATGCAACCACTCACCGGTGGAGAGCTATAAATTTCGACCTGTATTTAGCACTTTGATATTTTTCATGCCAATATTTACTGAATAGACCGGTGTGCTTTCATCACATAATTCCTTGCCTATCCAATGTTAAGACATTATTTCACAAAGTGGTCTGGTAACGGGGGATTTCTATATCTCATCACATAGCCTAAAGTTATTATCATTCTACATGTTCTAGAAGTTACTTTCAATTATTCAGTTGTTATTGTCGATGGTAGTGTTCCATGTAATTGAGATCAACATTGGAATACTTGATGAGGTCCTTATAAATTAAGAGTTCAAATGCAAAAGAATCGTATTTTACTTTAACAAACAGTTCAATCCAAAAAGAAAAGATTCAGAAAATCATATATTTTTTTTAATTACCCAGGTAATAATTTTATCATCGTTGATTTCATAGAGGTTGAATCAGATATGTATTTCAGCGAAAATTTTACACATATCATACACGTTTTAATATGAAAATATTTAATAGATCTCCTTTAATGAAAGATATACCTCTTTTCCACTCATCATTAAAATAAAATGATTAATTCCCCTCTTTAAAACGAAAGCAAATGAGGAAGTAAAGACTCCGGAATAATTTCGCCATTAGAAGATTATGAAATAATCAACTATTGTTTATTCAAAATCTAGGCAACACTGAATTACTTATCACGTTTAGTAAAGCTATAATGTAGGATATCAGGAATATGTCTAAATTTAAAAATACTTTAATGTACTTCCGTGAATAAAAAGCTTACTTCCGGTATAGGGAGAAGTCATTTCAAATGAAATTTATTAATAAGTAAAATAATGACGAGAGATATTTCTTTGCCATAAAGAGATACATGTATATCTTTTTGCTTGAGAGATATCTCTTTTAGACACTCTTGAAAGATATCTCTTTCACTTTAATTTGAGAGATATCTATTTAAATAAATGAAGAGATAAATCTCTTACTTTAAGAGACTTTAACTTGGAAAGATATCTCCCAAATACAAAGACATACAGTAGACTTACTTTTTTTTCTATGGGTCATAATTCCGCGGAATCTTAATGTCTGTTTAATCTGTGTATATAATTTAGAAAATAATGCGGATTTCCTAGACTGTCACTGTATGCCTTACATTTAAACTTAGAACGCTTGGACAATTTTCGCGGAAAATTTGTGACCGCGTTCATAGCGTAAATTAATAACACGCGGAAAAAAGTACTTGTACAGTATCTATCCAGGTGAAAAAGATATCTTTATATCTTTTACATTCAGAGATATCTCTTTTCATGAAAACGACATCTTTCAAGGAGAAAGAGATATCTTTTCAAGTGGAACTCTTTATGTTAAAGAGATATACTTCTCATAAAGATATCTCTTAAAAATGAGAGATATCTCTTTTTATCCCATGTTTACCCCTTTATCCCGTTGATATAGCTCATGTGATATCGTTTTCGTATCCCACAGTAGTGACCTCACAATGGGTCTGCGTTAGCGTAATGAAGTAAAATAAAGTGAAGTCGTATATAAAAACAGTGTGAAACATTGATTGTGGTGTATAAAACAAAATGTAAAACATGGGATTAAAAGAATCTCACATAATTTGTAGTTGGATATGATTTTTATCCAACTCTTTATGTGTTTTCATCACCTCGCCAAGGCTAGGGGATATAAAACACACAACTCGTTGGATAAAAATCATATCCAATTACGAATCATGTGAGATTCTACATGTATATATGTTAAGAGATATCTCTATTTTTAAAGAGATATCTCTTTAAAATGAGAGATATC